ATGATCATTTTAGAAGAAAATTTCAAATGGTACTTAGAGGCTTTTGCATCTGAACTCTTCATATACACTCACCGGCCACTTTATTAGGTACACCTGTCCAACTGCTCGTTAACACTTAATTTCTAAGCAGCCAATCACATGGCGGCAACTCAGTGCATTTAGACTAGGGATGTCCCGATACCACTTTTTCACTTCCGATACCGATGCCGCACCTTTGGCTTTTGCCGATACCGATATTAGTCCGATATTTTTTTTTTTCGTGGTCCGACGTGCCGTATACGGCCCACAGGGTGGTTTATAGGTTTAACTTTGTGAAAGACAAAACAAAACAAACACAAAAGTAAACATAATACATATCTTTGGAAAGCTGAGAAACTCGTGATTCGAACGACGTAAACCATTTTAAGATACAATCAACACAGCGGGCACAATCTGTCTCTTTGTCAGACCACCAACAGCCGAAACAAACCAACACAAACTGGAAGAAACTCACCAATTAGCCATCTGTTAGTCCACATTCCAACAAAAATGGTTTGGTTTCACTGTAAAGCGTCCATACAATCCAATTTGAAGAAGTTTTTAGTCCAAAACAATTGTATATATGAATAAACATCCATGGAATGTAAATAGTAGCATTTCGCGTTAGCCGACAGCGCTATCACAACTTCGACGCACTAATGCTACGTTCACACCGGACGCGAATAGGGCGTCAGGCGCGAATGATTTCAATGTTAAGTCAATGCAAAGACGCTTTACGCGCGTGAAAAATTCCTGCGGCGCGAATGAGGCGTGGAGCGCGGCGCGGAAGACGCGAATACGCCTCATTCGCGCGTCAAGTTGGCGCGAATGGCACGAATTGAGCGTTGTGCATTCACGCGTTTGACGCGAATTCGCGTCTGCCGCCCGAGTTGAAAAATCTGAACTTTGGCGTGAATTCGCGCCGCGTTAACCAATCAGGAGCCTAGCTGCTTGCTCACGTGGTGAAGTGTCTGGATGCTTCAATAAATTATTTTGTTAATATGACTAAATGCATGGTGGGATTATGCACAACAAAGCAAATGTTTCATCACTTAAAACATTATTTCTATATGGAGACATGTTCATTTTGTATTGAATGTTATTCATTCCATATCTAGAAATAGTATTATGTTGTAAAGACAATCAACATATGTGCATAAATTCGTGTCTGGACGTGAGAGGGAGAAAAAAAAAAATCACAGGACAGGTTAATAACTTTTGAAGGCTGGCTCTATTTATTATCAAAACAAAAATAAATGACAGCTAGATTAGATGGATGAGGGGCCGGGCGAGGGTGATCCTCGCTCAGATGCGGGACAACAGGTCATCAAACTGGGCGCGTGACAGGCGGAAGTACCGCTGACAGCGGCCGTCATCCAGCGCAGCTCCTGGAGCGAGCGAATGGTGAAACTCGCCAAACGGTTCGGCTCCGAAGGGTCCGGTGGACACAAATATACGGCGACGATGATCCCCACGCCGCTGTTCTGCTATCCAGAGTAAATACAGAGCGGTAACTCTCTTGATGAATGCTCGGTCGACATAAAAACAATGACCGCCGACGGATTTTGATTCTGACGCGCGTCACGCGCGTAAATTTCGCTTCAAACTTTACGCGCGCCAGTTTCGCTCTTGACACGCGAATTAACACTAGTGGTCAAGCGTCAAACTAGACGCGTCAGGCGCGAATTTGACGCGCGATTCGCGTCCGGTGTGAACGTAGCACTATTGATCCGTCTACAGTTGAAACGTAAACATTGGAGAAAAAAGAATGTCAAAATGGCCGCTGAACCATGAACTATTGATTGACAGGTCATTTTAGCCAATCGGCGAGTGTTAGGGGTGTCTTCTAAACTCCAACAGCCAACGAGCGTGCCTGGTGAAGATCGGTACCTTCCTCTCTTTGAGTGACAGTTTATCTATCCAGTTGCAATAGAGAATGAAATGACGCTATTTTCTGATAGCCAATGAATTTCTGAAAAGACTGAAATGCAGCTTTTGTTGGTGGAATCATCCGATTACATTAGAATCCGTGCGCAAAGCGAGAGTGATTCTCTGCGTGCGTGTGCGTAAACACAACAATCATCACGTGACAGGCTGCGCCGCTAAACTGGATATCGCTCATATTTTTTTCTCCCCTCCGATCTCCGATCTAGCGTTCTGGGCCGGTATCGGCGCGATACCGATGCCGTGGATCGGATCGGGACATCCCTAATTTAGACATGTAGACATGGTCAAGACAATCTCCTGCAGTTCAAACCGAGCATCAGTATGGGGAAGAAAGGTGATTTGAGTGACTTTGAACGTGGCATGATTGTTGGTGCCAGAAGGGCTGGTCTGAGTATTTTAGAAACTGCTAATCTACTGGGATTTTCACGCACAACCATCTCTAGGGTTTACAGAGAATGGTCCGAAAAAGAAAAAACATCCAGTGAGCGGCAGTTCTGTGGGCGGAAATGCCTTGTTGATGCCAGAGGTCAGAGGAGAATGGCCAGACTGGTTCGAGCTGATAGAAGGGCAACAGTGACTCAAATAACCACCCGTTACAACCAAGGTGGGCAGAAGAGCATCTTTGAACGCACAGTACGTCGAACTTTGAGGCAGATGGGCTACAGCAGCAGAAGACCACACCGGGTGCCACTCCTTTCAGCTAAGAACAGGAAACTGAGGCTACAATTTGCACAAGCTCATCGAAATTGGACAATAGAAGATTGGAAAAACGTTGCCTGGTCTGATGAGTCTCGATTTCTGCTGCGACATTCGGATGGTAGGGTCAGAATTTGGCGTCTACAACATGAAAGCATGGATCCATCCTGCCTTGTATCAACGGTTCAGGCTGGTGGTGGTGGTGTCATGGTGTGGGGAATATTTTCTTGGCACTCTTTGGGCCCCTTGGTACCAATTGAGCATCGTTGCAACGCCACAGCCTACCTGAGTATTGTTGCTGACCATGTCCATCCCTTTATGAACACAATGTACCCAACTTCTGATGGCTACTTTCAGCAGGATAATGCGCCATGTCATAAAGCTGGAATCATCTCAGACTGGTTTCTTGAACATGACAATGAGTTCGCTGTACTCAAATGGCCTCCACAGTCACCAGATCTCAATCCAATAGAGCATCTTTGGGATGTGGTGGAACGGGAGATTCGCATCATGGATGTGCAGCCGACAAATCTGCGGCAACTGTGTGATGCCATCATGTCAATATGGACCAAACTCCCTGGGGAATGCTTCCAGCACCTTGTTGAATCTATGCCACGAAGAATTGAGGCAGTTCTGAAGGCAAAAGGGGGTCCAACCCGTTACTAGCACGGGGTACCTAATAAAGTGGCCGGTGAGTGTATATATATATTAGGGGTGGAGCCGAATCCGAATACGGTATTCGGAAAGGCACAAATAATGTGTTTTTTACGAATACTTATTCCGAACAAATACTTAAAATATGTATTTGTATTCGGGAACAACAATTACTTTATATCAAAAAGCTGCTTTCCTCACGAGACCGCAGTGCGCGAGTTGAGTGATTGACGTTCAGGAAGAGGTGACTGACACAGGCTTCTCCACACAGCAACATAGAGGGCTCGGCTGAGCGAAAAAAACACTTAACTGCATCACTATTTTTGTTGAATAGATGTTTGTACCTTAACTAGGTTCCGGAGGCAGTTTATAACTTTCGGGAAGCGGAGTTTGATCGGGAGTATATTCCATTATTGACGTCTGCAGACGGGTGCTCTCATTTTCGCTCCGTTTACGTAGCTCTGTTAGCTCGGTAACGGTTTATTTGTTTCTTACATGGCTTGGTTGAATTCTAATGTAGAATGCGGTCCGTTATTATAACATGCCGCTGATTATAAGTATAACACACCGTTGCCATGAAAAACAGAGCGTTGCCATGGATTCTAAACGTAGAGACAGAACGGACTATTTTTTCTTCTTTAGCGGAAGCGATACAATCGTTTTTTAAATCCACAAACTCCTTTTTATATCCATATTTTGAGTCAAATTATTGATTTATTTGGTAGGTAGCCATATCATAAGCGGGGTAATGTAGAGCGAGGCAGCAAATACAAACCCTTCAGGCTTCGCGTCGGGCTCATAATCAACCTCCTCACTATAAATTATCCCTAAACTTATTATGTCTGCTCAGCTGCCCTCCACCGTGGTGTTGGGGTTCATAATGTTCACAATTGTATTTTATTAGTTGGTTTAACCATGGTTCATGAGGTAATGGATGACTGTTATTTTCTTTTCAATGACTTTTCTTGTTACATGTTCATTGCTGGATTTATAGAAAAACATCAACCAATATTGCATATCCATAATTATTATAATGGATATAATTAAAGAATCCATACACTATAAAGTATTTTTAAAGATTGTTATGCCTATTTTGAATTTTACTCGAATACAAATACAAATACTTTTCCTCCCTGAACAAATACAGATACAAATACCGGCTGCTTTGCACACCCCTAATATATATATATATATATATATATATATATATATATCACATATCAATAAAGCAAAGAAAATAATTATAAGAAAATTTATATTTAAATGACTTTAATGATTAAATGATTATAATGGACAAACGAATACAAGCCACACACACACACACAAAGGGTCCTGCTCAGACTGACAGCAAATCTCTTATTTAAGAACATTGGCAGATACTGAACATATAGCAAATCAAATACATCCATTAAAAATTTGCACAATGCCATGGGCCAGACTGAAAGAAAATCACATTATTATTTTAAAATACTTTGAAAATCACAGAATGACACAATTACTTTTTTCAGTTTTTCAATTTCTTCTAGCTCTTTTCTCTCTTGTTGTTTTTTTCTTTATGACATTTATTGTTTCTTCAAATCCCCTTCTTCTCCCATTTAACATTAATTGATTGCTGATGGTTCACCTGACATGTGTTATTTGGATTAAAACTAAATTGTATATGTAAGTAAAACATGAAGTGTTACCTGATTTATAACGGGGTGGTTGCCTACAATATTACAGGACATGTGCAAGTCAAGAAGCATTCAAACGGGACACAATTGTGACAGTGTTTGTACAACACATTTACAGCAGCAAAGAGAACTAAAGTGAAATGAGATCAGGTGAGGAATGATGATGGCTACTTGTTGATGGTTTTATAGTCATTGTGAAATAGTGATGTCTGGTTTGTGAATGAATTTTTCTTCTGAACTGGTGCTTTTTAGTGAACTGGGGCCGTATTCACAAAGAAATTTAAGGCTAAAAGTAGCTCCTGGTAAATTTAAGAGCAACTCCTAAAAATAATGGACACCCACTCCTAACTTTAGGACTCCAAAATTTTTTCACTAAGAGTAATTCACGAAGCATTTTAGCACTAAAAGTAGCATCTAAGTCTGGGACAGATTAAAAGAAGTCGAGAGGACTCCTAACTCACTAAGACCGATTCACAAAGGACTGTAGCCAGCCCATTCTCATCCTTTAGCGTCACATAAAACGCTATATGACAAAACGGCGCTTTACTACGCACATGGCACCCTTTATCGTTAATATGACACGCAGACCCTACCCCACACCTAAACTTAGCCCTCACAGCGCGTTATATTAACGATAACGGGTGCCATGTGCGTAGTATAGCGCCGCTTTTTCATATAGCGCTCTATATGACGCTAAAGGATGAGAATGCGTTACTGTAGCGCATACCAGCGCATCTCGCAGTCGTCTGGGGTTCGCGACACAAGCGGGAACACTGCATTGATTTGCAAACAAATCCTCTCCCATGTCTCACGCTAGTTTTTCTTGATATCCCAGTGCCGAATTTCACTTTTATTATGTTTTTTTTTTCCAGCACCAACTGGGCCAGAAGCAGTAACTGATCCTGTCATTCAGCTATTATATTACCTCAATAGAAGCAACATTTCCTTGCTTTAAGTCGTCTATTTAGGCTAATAGGATGTCAATTAACCAAGCAAGTGTTAATGCAAGTGTCGTTTTTATTATTAGGCAAGTGGCGGACTGTTTTCATTGGGGTATTACCTTGATTTCATTTAATTTAATTCACGACTTTTCTCTCTCTGCCTTTTTAGAATTACACTTCACTGGGGCCTGCTGCACAAACATGTCATTATATACGCATATGGACTACATTACTATTGTTATTTAGTGTAGGACTCAGACATATTTAGATGTGGTAATTCCATGATTTGTTGCGTCTGTGTTATGCTCCGCATCATCGCCCTGTCATCTAACGACCAATCACCGTGATAATTGTGAGGAAGCTCGTTCATGAGAACTGACCTCATCTATAGCAATGAAGACTCGCTCTCATGCCGCAGAAATACAGGGTTTGTAACATAAATATATTTATGGCACAACAAGCAGTTAAAATCAAAATACGTTATCAGGTCAATTGTATAAAACCGTCATCACCTGATCTCATTGTGCTTTAGCTTTCTTTGCTGCTGCAAATGTGTTTGACACACACACACTGTCACAGCAGAAAAAAGAGACAAAAGATGTGATAAGAGTTACGAACCAAACTAATGGAAACACTAATCACATTAACAAATTACTATGCTAAAATTTCAGAGAGTTGTCATGATTTTAATATATATCGGCTGTGGAGGTGAAGATGAAAACTCCCATGTATCCACACTCATCCACAGCGGCATTAAACTATGCCTTTGTTATGAAGAGGCGACCTAATTATTGTTTGATCTGCTTTGTGAAAATCACATTATGACACATTTTGATTTATTTGATTCCTTCCAAAGTTTTTCAACTTCTTCTTGTAGCTTTTTTAGTTCGTCTCCTTCCATATCTTGCAGGCGTTGATGGAGATCTTCAACTTTTTTCCTTATAACCCCTTTCTGGAGCCCCATGAGTTGAAAGAGTTTTTCCAGAATTTCTTGTTGCTTCTGATGTTCTTCCAGCTTATGTTGAAGATCTTCTTTTATCCCTTTTAAATCATTTGTTTCTTCTGCTTGTTTTTTGCCTTCATCTTCATGTTTCTTCTTCATGGCTTGTATTTCCTCTTCATGTTTCTTTTTCATTTCATCTCTCTCCTTCTCTTCTCTTTCTTTTCTCTCTGTTTCTCTTCTCTTCATTTCTTCTTCCAGTCGTTTCATATCTTCAATAATTTTCTCCCATCTCTTTCTTTCTTCTTCTCGTCTTCTTCTCTCCCACTCCTCTTTTCTCTGTTTCTCCAGTTGTTCATAATGTTTTATTGTTTCCTGTCTTTTTTTCTCATATTCTCTCTCTTTTTCTTCTCTTTCTCTTCTCTGTTTCTGTATCTCCTTCTCTATCTTCTGTCTTTCTTCTTCTCTCTCTCTCTCAAATCTCTTTCTCATTTTCTCCTGTTCTTCTAGTTTTTCTTTCAGCTGTTTTTCGTGTTTCTCTTTTCTCTTTCTTTCTTCTTCCTCTCGTTCTCTCATCTGGCGTTTCATTTCATCCTCCCATTCTCTCTGCTGTCGTTTAATTTCCTCTTTAGTCTCTTTTCTGTCATTTTCAGCCTCTTTTATTATTCTTTCCCATCCCTGTCTCTCTTCCTCTTCTTCTTTCCTCATCATTTTCTCTTCCAAATCTCTATTTTTTATTTCCTCCTCTTCCTTCCTCTGTAATTCTGCTATAATGCGTTCTTGTTCATGTTTCATCTTTTCTTGATCTTGCTTGTATTTCTCTTCTCTCTTTCTATCTTCTTCTTCTCTTTCTTTTTGCTGTTTTACATACTGTGATCTTTGATTTTCAATCTCTCTCTTCATTTCTTCTATTCTTTGATGATATTCAGGTCTTCTCTGTTTTTCCTCTTCTGATCGTTTCTGGTCTTCAATCTCTCGTTTCTTCTGTTCTGTTTTCTCTTTCTCTTCAAACTCTCTTCTCAGTTTTTCCTCTTTTTCTCTCATTTCATTCTCCATTTTCTTTCTCTCCTCGTCTGCTCTTTGTTTCTCTTCCTCGAGTCTCTTCGTCATGATTTTCATGTCCATCTCATATTTGGTTTGTAATTCTTCTCTCTGAGTCTGAGTTTCTCTTTCTCTCTCTTTTATTATTTCATCAAATCTCTTTTTAATGGACATCTCTGCCTCCTCAAACATGCTGTTAGTGAAGTATCGACCCTCATTGGTGTTTCTCACTTCTTCTATCATGTTCAACAGTCGAGTTACTTGAGTTTTGTCTTGTTTTTCTCTGTTATTGAAAGCCAGGAATCTGTTTCCACAATCTCTGATCAGTTTCTGCAGTTCTCCAGACTTACTCTCCCTCACATAATCCTCTATAGATTCATCATCAAGATCGTCTCCTCTAGTGAACAGGACGATGCTGAACTGAGCAGATTTTGGACCAAAGATCTTCTTTATCAGATCTACAGTGTCTGTTTCTTCCTTTGTGAATCTTCCCACAGTCAACACAATGATGAACACATGAGGTCCAGGTGACGACAGTGAAACACATTTCATTATTTCTTCCACCACTTGATCATTTGTCAGTGTCGTGTCAAAGAGTCCTGGAGTATCAACAACAGCGACTGATCGACCATCAACTTCACCAACTCTCTTCTCACACACAGTCGTCACTGAATCTGGCCTTAAGTCACTCACAAACTCCTTTCTTCCCAGAATAGTGTTTCCTGTTGCACTCTTTCCACTTCCTCCCCTCCCGATCAGCACAATCCTCAGACACTCATGATCATCTGATTCACATTCAGCTCCTGAAATCATGCAAGAATTCATGTATTAGTATAATCAGGGCTGCACATAACTGGTGTGTGTGCATTCGTGGTAAAAAAAGGAACGATTCGCACCAGAAAACATGGAGGGAAGTGCTTTTGAGTACCAACATTTTAAGGACACGGACACGTTTACTTACTGGAGCAGGATTTTTTCCCATCTCTGGTAAGATAGCAATCATGATTAGGGAAGCACTATATATTTGTTTTAGTGATATCGCGGTATGCGCATCAAGGATAATCACATCACAGAATGATGTCAAGTACAGGGATCAGTTGATCGGTCTGATTTGGAATGACTTGATTTGTGGTTTAATTGCAAAGTTTATCCATCATAGAGTGAAAGCCAGATAACAAGCAAACATCGAAACAACATTAAAACAATGTTAATGTGTCAAATTTAAATGCATTGAATCAACATCACATTTGCACCCGCAATTAATTTTGAAATCTCATCCATAAATCAATGGTAATGGCATTGAGTTAATGTTACAATGTGATGTTGGCTTACCATCATGTTTGCACTCAGAAAATGAAACACAACTATAACTGACTTAAAGTGTAAATAGCAGGTTAAATTTTTCACGATGATAATGCAATGTGCTTACTAAACATAAAGGTAAGAACCGCCCACAGTTGTTTTTTATTCCAAAATGCTGCATGTAATATGAAAAGTTGGTATGTTTTACAGTGGTTTTAGGCACTTCCGCTAGGCTGGGCGTGATGTTATAAAAGTGACTCTAAGCTTGTACCGTCTATACCTGGTCTATAATGCTCCAAGCCTAGAGTTACTGTTAGTCTAAACAGCAAGTAGGCTAGCAGATATATTGGAGACCTAGCTAGCAAAGATGGTTAACTATTGTGTTTATGCGGGATGTACAAATACATCAAAAACAGGGGAGAGGCTCCACAAATTCCCCAAGGACAAACGACTGATTTGTACCTGTGTTACCCTACCTAAGGTAGATCTCGGGTGTGCAAGCCCGACCCTACCTGAACACGTTGTGTCCAAGCCCGGCCCGACACATTAACTCTAATTAAGAGATGTTCCTTGAGATGTTCTGACAGCTGACATGTGTGTTTTTTTCAGCTGCTTATAAACACATTAATGGCACAGGTGAAATTACACTATATTTAGCAGAAACAGTGCAACCATGACATATGGGCAACATGTTTGAACATGTTTTTATTTTTGAGAGAATATTGTTTATGCGTGGTTATTAAAAACTAAACATGAAAGTTTCTGAAATAAGGCCACAAAACACATACTAAATATGTCCACAAGACTTTTGACTAATTGATGTTGTTGCCTAGGGCTTTTTCTTCACAATGATCTGAAAATCATCCTGCCTAATTGTTCACGTAAAACTGTGAATTGGGTTATATTGTGAAAAACATTTTTTGTTTGCCAAAGCAATATGCAAATGGGCTTGAACAGGCCAGCCCTCATCAGGAATAATTAGGTTATTCTCACCTGAGAGAGACAAAGACACGCATAATAATCCTTAACCTTTCATTCAGGTGAGACAGACAAGAAAAAATTGAAAGGACAACACACACACACACACACACACACACACACATATATATATATATATATGAGAAGTTCAGATGCAAAAGCCTCTAAATTCCATTTGAAATTCTTCTAGAATGATCATTTTTATCAAGCTTGTATATTTAAGTTCAGCAATTTCACTTAAATGGCAATGAAGACTACCTATTTATAGTCATTTAAGTGAAATTACTGAACTTAAATATACACATAAAAAATGATCATTCTAGAAGAATTTCAAATGGCACTTTAGAGGCTTTTGCATCTCTACTCTTCATATATATATATACATGTATGTATAAAATCAAAGTATAAATGAAAGTCAAAACCAATTTTTAGTCATACCTGGAAACAAATCCTGGTCAAATAGGTGCCATGTAGAATAGGTTCAAAGTTAGAGTTTAAAACATCTTGAAAAGAAAATAATATGAGCAGAAACTCTTACTCTGAGGGCCCTATTTTAACGATCTGAAATGCAAGTGTCAAAGCGCAAAGCACAAGTAACTTTGTGGGCGGATGTGTATGTAGTTTAAAAAAAAATGCGCCAGCATTAGTGTTTGTTTGTGTCTGTGTGTGTGTTGCACATCCATACTTGCAAAAAAACGCGATTACAACAACGCTATAAGTATATAAATGTATCAAATAACCATACCGAGACGTACTGGCCCATTCTCATGTGTTTATTCTGCCGGAGTCTCTTAGTACTATTTATATATTCCGATTCAAACGTATAAACGTACGCTGAATGACACTCAAAACAGCGGTTTCTCGCTCTCCCCTTCTGCTTACAGTGACTGCCATTGGTATCATGTTACGCCCTCATCCAAAGGCAGGGCGGGGATATGCAGCTCATTTGCATTAAGGTGGTATACACCCATAACAGCTCATTTTTAATCAGGTCCCAAAATGACATTTTCAAATGGTTATAATAAATTAACTATGGGGTATTTTGAGCTGAAACTTCACAAATACATTCTGGGGACACCCGAGACCAATATTACACCTTGTAAAAAGGGGCATAATAGGAGCCCTTTAAAACCAGTGGCAGCAGTTGTTGGGCCACAACCTGTGAGTAGGCTAAGACTTAATAATTTTAAATGCCAGCACTGGCTTTATAGCCACTATAGGCTACGAGTTATGCTATTTTTTGTCTACGACAAACACGTACAAACATTATGGACCTGAATTTTGTATAAGTACTAATGTTTTAAATGTATTTTTCATGTATATATGCTTTATGACGTTATTTTTGATTTGATCAAGAACGTAAACATGCCACCGCTGTTTGTGTTTAACATTAGCCAGTCAGTTGCTATTGTTGCCAGTCAGATGCTATTGTGTAAAACAAATGTGTATAAAGTTAAAAAATGTAGCAAATTATCATTCAGAAACGTTTAGTAAGAGCCGTGTGTGGTGTGGTTCTGCTTGACTCTCTTCATCGTGGCTTTCTCGGTCTGATTCTGCATCAAACTGATACTGCAGTTCGACACATATTTACATCTGGACCGGAGCTCATGACGTGCCCGTAAAGGTAATGGGCGTTAACCTTCCGGACAACGTGAGCGACGGTTTAGCCAATCACCACACACCGGCCCAAACTAACCAATCTGAGCCCACTATGTGTTTCTGAGGGAGTGTTTTCATAGAATCAGGAAGTCAACCGCTTGTTCGAGGACAGAGGAGAGTGCGGCTGACAATAAAGGTGAAGTTTATAAAAAATAAGACTTTTGAAAAAAGAAAAACCACGAATACATGTTATATTGCACCCCATAAACACAATCATGCAAAGAAAAAAAGCAGTCAACCCCTCCTTTAAAGCTCATTCTGCCACTACGTTACACAAGCAATAATTTATATAATTATAACACTATGTTTCACATTTAGTACATTTTGCTTCCGACTTATTTAAAAATAGTATAAAAGTACTGTATAGGCCCACATATGTAATTAAAAAGTTTTCATTATGATATTATTAATTTTACTTTAGTAAAAAAGATCTGAGTTCTTCCTCCACTAGAGATTAGAGGAATTAAGAGTAAAAATAGAAGATAATAAGGTTGTCAGTGACACTTTTGATATATTTATTGATACAAGTTATGTTTTATATAACGTGACTAAATTAAAAGACAAAGTCGTTAGTGAAGATTATGCAACAGTATTTATAATATAATATTTCATGCAATGCGAACTAGTTTGGTTACAGTTCAAATGTCTCATTCTCATTCTATCATTCACCCTGTCTCCATTACATATCTTTGTCACTCAAGTGTTTGATCGCCATATCTGAGTGATCATTGCAAAACATTTATATATTTATTCTGATTATACTGTGTATTCTATATACAGTACCCATCAAATGTTTGTACACAGTACACACCAATAGGAAAGTGTATCCAAACTTTTAAATAGTACTGTACTATAATACACATAATATTGCTAATGTATTATATACACATAAATAACATCTGCCTATAGTTATAGTGTAAAATATATAGTTAAGAACAAATTTTTGTGCGTACGAACGTGATGTGAATTACGCAAAGATTTTTTCGTAAGAAGATCTTCTAAAATATGAAATAATCTACGCAATTATTAGTGAATGAGACCCAGTTTCTCCTCACATCAAGAAGGTCCATCAACTCACCGTCTGACTGAATCCTCGCTTGTAACTCTTTATTTTCATTCTCCAGTCTCTTCAGTTCTTCTTCATATTTCTCCTCTGCTTCATGTCTGGCTCTGTTCTCTTGAGCTTTCATATACATCTGAAGTGAATATGGTTTAGTCTTCATCTTCTCTATATAATCCAGTAGATCTGGGATCTGTCTTGAGTTTTCTGGTTCATTTAACCCCATCACTCTGTACTGACCTCCACAGAGACTGATTAACCTCCGAGAATCTGGCTGTGTTTAATAAAATCTTCTGCATGTTCTTTAGTACTATATGAGGTGAAGAGTACAATGAAGTGCTCTCTGGAGTCAAATATGTTCTGGATCTTCTCGATTTCTGCTTTGTCTTCATCAGTCAGTGGACCAGCAGGTACAATAATGAGGAAAACATGAACTCCAGGATCACAGAGAGACACACAGCGGAGAGTCTGACGCATCACTTCCTGCTCTGAGAGATGACTCACAGCTGGAAGCTCCACCAGACTGATCACACGATCATGAATCCTCTCCTCTATCTTCACACACTCTTTACTGTTCGCCTTCTGATGTGAAGGACTGAATGTTTTCCCTTGTAAAAGTTTGGACACAGAGACCGTAAGTGATCCATCACTTCCACACAGCACCAGGTTCAGCTTCTGTTTTCCAGAGACGTTTTCTGACACTGAAAAACATATTAAGAGACCTTCAAACAAAATGTTAACACTCATGCCATACCATTCAACTGCTTATTTTGAATCTGCATGCATCTTTAATATAATACAAGTGTAAATGCTGAGGATTTTCTTCAAGTGTTCACACCTTGTTCCTTGTTTCTCAATTAATTATTTTATCCTAAGCAACACTGCATCTCCAGAACACAATCATCAAGGTCAGCGTTTAACACCAGCTCCACATTAAGCACTGCTGCTCAGTCTATCCAAACACAAAAGGATCAGAGATGGACTTTATTTATGACTACTTGCTGCAAACTCCAAGCTGAGACTTTCCTAACATCAGTCAAACATTGATACTGGAGGAGGGACTTTATAAAAACACAGGGCACTCAATAGACATGCATTTAAAGGGTTAGTTCACCCAAAAATGAAAATTCTATCAGTATTTACTCACCCTCATGTTGTTCCAAACCTCGATGTGTTTATTTGTTCTGCTGAACACAAAGGAAGATATTTGGAAGAATGTTTTAATCAAACAGATCTCATTCCCCATTGACTACCATAGTAGGTGGTAGCCAATGGGGAATGAGATCTGTTTGATTAAAACATTCTTCCAAATATCTTCCTTTGTGTTCAGCAGAACAAATAAACACATCGAGGTTTGGAACAACATGAGGGTGAGTAAATACTGATAGAATTTTCATTTTTGGGTGAACTAACCCTTTAAAAACTCTTGAGAATTTTACAGTGTATTGCCTATCAAATTTGTACTAAGTTGAGCTTGTACAGCCAAAGGAGACCCAACTCTGTCCAGCTTTAACATTAGTTTACAATTTACTCTCATATTGTGTGTTTGAGTATTTTCAAATGTTTGGAGGACATTTGAACTGATCACTATGTCATATTATAAATGCGTCGATTACAATGACTTTCATACACTGGACTTTATTGTATTATATATCTGCATTTGGGCAAAAATACAAAATACTAAAAAACCTATTAAGAGCATTAATGTAAATATAAGTGTAACTATAATGAGTAATGAAAATGGAAATGAAAAATCTCCCACAGTTTGTGTGAAAATCTATTCAGATGTTTTGGAAGTATTTGTAAATAAATTTAATTGTAGTTATCATAATCTTAAAAAAAAATAAAAAAAATAAAAATAATCTTAAAAGCGCATTTCTGAAAGCGTACAAAAAAGACCTTGAAAAGTACCTTCATCACTTCTCTCTTTCTGTCTTTCTTTGGGTTTTTCCATCATTTTCTTGATAATGCTCCTCATTTTCTTCCTCAGATCTGCTCTGCTCTTCATCCACCGATGATTCTTTAACATCATGAAATAACTCACATATGAGATAGTCTTCCTGGTTTTCCTCAAGTATCTTATCAACACTCTTGAAAATCTCAGATCGCCATTCTGGGTTTCTTTCATCAATCTGCAGATGTCTTCCTCTACACTCTTTTATTAACTCATGAATCGATTTATTCTCAAAAAAAGGACTCCATGATATGTATGACTCTTTATCAGTCGTGATCACTATAGTGCGTTTAATGGCCTCTTCACTGAATTTCTCCAGCACTTGTTTGACTCTTCTCATGTCCTCCTCAGTGAAGTCTTTATTCTGCAGTACGAGTATGAAGGCATGAGGTCCTGGATCTGACAGAGACACACACTCTCTCACGGTCTGTGTGATCTGATGATCTGAGATGTGTGTGTGGAGCAGCTGAGGACTGTTGATGATGGTCACACGTCTGTCCTTCAGTCTTCCTCCGACTCTCTGACTGCACGGCTGGAGATTCATCTTCTCTAAAGGAGCTTCACTGTCAAACACATCTTTCCCCAAGATGAAGTTTCCCACTCGACTGTTTTCTGACACACTCTTCCCCAGCAGAACAATCCTCAGATCACTCACTGAAACACGAGAGAAAACAGTGTCCTGTAACCTGATGTTTCTTTGACATAACTTTTATACTTTATCCACAATTATTATACAAGACAATACTCAGTCAATTTGCAAACTGTATTGTTTAACATTACCAGCACTGAATATTGAGAATTGACTGAAGCCTTTGATATAATTTACATTAAAGAGATTATTTTAATAGTTTTATCAGTCACAGACTTAAAGTCTTCATCAAAAACACACTTTTCTGTTGCTATCAAATAATTTATTGGATTTACTGTTTTGAATATGAAGTTGAACTTACTCTTTGTGTGATCAGGAACTGGACTTTGTTTCTTGTGATGTTCAGATTTCTGTTTGTCTTTTTTCTTCTCTTCTCTTTTCCGTGTTAAATCTTGTGTTTGTTTTTCCCACTGCAGTCGTTCCAGTTTCATCTGCTCAAGCATATCATTCTCCTTTTCTTCTCTTTCTTTTATTACTGTTTTATATCGTTCTTCTCTCTCTCTGAATTTGTTTTTTTCCTCTTCATGTTTAGATTGAAGATCTTCTTTCTCTCTTTCCATTCTCTCTTTCTCTTCTTTTAGTCTCTCATTAAATTCATCACAGACTCTCTGTTCTTTCTCTCTTCTTTTCTCATCTTCTTCTTCTCTCCTCTTCTTTTCCTCTAGTTTCTGTTTCTCCCATTCCTCTCGTTCTCTCTTCATCTCCTCACGCATCTTCTCCTCACTCTCTTCTTTCTCTTTCATTTGTTTTTTATAATGTTCTTCCCTCTCATCTCTTCTCTTTCTCTCAGTTTCATGAATCTGTCTTTCATTCTCTATTGTCTTCATCAGTTTGTGTATTTCTATCTGTAATTGGTCTTTTTCTGTTTTTATTTTCTCTTTTTCTTGTCTCGTTCCCTCTATTTCATGTTTAAATGTCTCTCGTTCTCTCCTCATCTCGTCTCGTATCTCTCTCTGATGTTTCTCTTGTTCTTTTATTTCTCTTTTGAGTTCCTCTTCTCTTCTCTTTCTCTCTTCATCATGATTCTGTCGTTCTTCCTCCATCATCATCTTCATTCTCTTTTTCTCTTCTTCATGTTTCTTCATCAGTTCTTCTCTCTCAGTTTCATGATTCTGTCTTTCATTCTCTATTCTATTCATCAGTTTGTGTATTTCTATCTGTAATTGGTCTTTTTCTGTTTTTATTTTCTCTTTTTCTTGTCTTATTTCCTCTATTTCATGTTTAAATGTCTCTCGTTCTCTCCTCATCTCGTCTCGTATCTCTCTCTGATGTTTCTCTTGTTCTCTTATTTCTCTTTTGAGTTCCTCTTCTCTTCTCTTTCTCTCTTCATCATGATTCTGTCGTTCTTCCTCCATCATCATCTTCATTCTCTCTTTCTCTTCTTCTAGTTTCTTCACCAGTTCTTCTGTTTCTCTGACTCTGTCCATCAGGATCTTCATCTGTTGTTCTTGTTTTTCTCTCTCCATCTCTCTGAACATCTTACAGGAGTAGAAACTCCCTCCGTTTGCGTTCACCATGTGGTCTATCTTCTGCAGTAGATCAGACACCTGTGTTCGGTCTCCAGGCTGATTATTGTTGAACACATGATATCTGTTTCCACACGCTTCGATCAGGTTCATCAGAGGAGATCCAGGTTTTCCCAAACACTGGTCAATGGTTTTGTCCTTCAGATAGTCTCCTCTGGTGAAGAGCACCATGGTGAACATTAAAGATTTCTCTCCAAACGTCTCTTGGATGATCTTCACTGATGTTGCTTCTTCTCGAGTGAACCGTTGTCCTAAATTGAGCACAATGATGAACACATGCGGTCCCGGCAGGATCATGGAGATGCAGTGTCTGATTTCTCTCTGGATCTCTTCATTAGTGAGTTCAGTATCAAACAGTTCTGGAGTGTCGATCACAGTAACGTGTCGGCCGTTGATGTCAGATGTTTCTCTCTGACTCTCTTTAGTCACGGACTCTTGAGATGTTTCTGCTGTAAACGCGTTTCTTCCTAAGATTGTGTTTCCAGTTGCACTTTTCCCGACTCCAGTTTTTCCCAGCAGGACAATCCTCAGTTCATCTGGGTTTTCTCTTAAACCTGAAAATTAAAAAATAAACAAATCAATGCTTAAATTTATGAAAAAATCTTTATGAAAAAATCTTTATTAATTCAACTGGACAGATCAATAGGGAGATCGGATGAAAAAAATCTGTTTTACAGATACTAGACACGTGACATACAAATGAAAAATTGGTATCAAAGAGCACAACCAGGTTTCTCACTGACGATGAAGACTTAACAGAGCAGCCATCAAGTGTTAGAGAGTATTCTAGGCTGTTACGTGTGGAAGTTTTTTGTCCAATAATTAGAATCTCTGTTTTTTCAGAATTAAGTTGCAGGAAATTACTAGTCATCACATTTCAGCTATCATGATATGTATTCAGTTAATTTTGTGAGTTGGTAAGTTTCGTTAGGTTTTGAAGAAATATAGAGCTAAGTATCATCAGCATAACAGTGAAAGCTAATTCCATGTTTCCTAATGATATCTCCTAATGGTAGCATGTACAGAGTGAACAACAGCGGTCCTAGTACTGAGCCTTGTGGTACACCATACTGAACTTGTGATCGATAAGACATCTCTTCATTTACTGCCACAAACTGATAACGGTCAGATAAGTATGATTTAAACCATGCGAATGCAATTCCACAAATGCCAATATAATTTCAAATCTATTTAAATGAATGTTGTGGTCAATAATATTAAATGAAGCACTAGGATCGAGTTGCAATAACACAGATGCTCATCCACAGGAGGAGATTCTTCTCTTTCTGCCAACCAGTCTAAGTTAAGTCTGGCCATGGCGTGGGTCATAACTTCCACTAACTCCTTAAACCCAGGTGTTACGTTATGTGTATTCGTCCTCATATGTTTTGTTCTCATGTATTTATATAAGATTTGTGTATGTGTTGTTTTCTGTTGGTTTTAGGTTACTCTTGATTCGATAACAGCAGGCGGTAATTGGACGACCAGCTGGCGGTCCTGTTTAAAATCCCCTCCTTCTCCGTTAGATTGGGGTTTTGTTTGTTATTTTGGGCCTTGGGTCTCTCTGACGAAAATGCCACTCTTTTGAGTTTATTGCTTTACTCGGTCTTCTGCAGATTAATTATAACTTATTTTATTATTATTATTAGTTTTTTTTTGGGATGAATGTGGTCTTACCTCTTGTTATCTTTTTCTGTGATAACTCTTAAATACAATAAATCTTGTTATAATTTATGGTGTTTTTTTTTTTTTTTTTTTGGTTCTTTTGGTCTGACGGCCTGCTGGAAGCCTGTCGCATTTCTTCAGTCTTCAACTTATTGTGTCTTACCCCTAGCGGACGTAATACCAGGGGAAAGGCAGGAGCCGGTCTCACTCATACTTGCTACAGGCAGCTAAACAAGATTTGAGTGTATTTACACATACTTCAGACACCAGTTAATGTGGAGCCTTCCCATTGCATCAACACTATGACACAGAGTCGAAGTTCTACTCCACAAGGGAACTTAAAATGGTGTATGTTGGTTTTTCTGCTTATCTGTATGATTATAAAAGAACAGCAAAACGTTCAGCTTCACTGCAGAGAATTGTAGTAGTTCTGTGTTTGAACATTCAAATTTGTAAATTCTAATTTCATTTTTTATTCTACTTTTCCTGTGGAACTCTGAAGCTTGAGATTTGAGTTTGTGTTTTTCACAATCAGAATGTTTTTATATTTTCAAATTTATGAACTTTGGAATGTTGCTGTTTTTCAGTTAAAAATACACATTCATAAAACGATACTGAAGAATAAAACTTCTGTAGAATTTATATATGAAAGGTCATTTTTCTAGCTCCACCGATTAAGATTTAAACTGATTTTCTGGTCATTACCTTGTGACTGTAAATGTGTCTGAATTTTCTTTTCCATCTCTTCAAATTTCATCAGTTTTTTCATCTGTGCCTCCAGAAATGTCTCTGTTGAGAAAAACTCTCCTCTGTTTTCCTCCAGCATCTGCTCAATGTTCTCCATCAATGTGGACACTCGTGTGGAGGGACCAAAGAAATGATGTCGTCCTCCAAACCTCTCAATAACAGACTGTGTTTCTTCATTGAGTTCCTCTGTCTGATGCTCTGAATCCTGCATTATGAGGATCATCATGTGTTTGTTGATTCTCAAGCTGAAGATCCTCTGGATCTCCTCCATTTCTGCTTTGTCTTCATCAGTTTGTGGACCATCTGGAATAATGAGGAGGAAAACATGAACTCCAGGATCACAGAGAGACACACAGCGGAGAGTTTGCCGCATCACTTCCTCCTCTGAGAGCCGAGTGTTGAACAGAGCTGGAAGCTCCAACACACTGATCACATGACCATGAAGATCCACGTCTGATCTTCTGTCTGTCTGCTGCAGGATCAGCTCTGATATGGAGGACTTTAATGTGCCGTCACTCCCGCACACAACCAGATTCAGCTTCTCTCCTTCTGAAACTGATAGAAGAAGAACATTAAAAAACTGTTCATTAATCACACAGCAAAATCCCCAGTGTTAAATTAGCACTCCTCAGTGTACATATGTGCCCACACAACAGGGTGTTAAAAATTAATTAAGTTAATGAGATAATTAAGTGATTAATTAAGTGATGATTGAGCATTATTGAAGACACCTGGTGTTAATAAGCAGAATCACTGAATGAAAGAGAAACACAAGAACTACTGACTTTGAGCCAATACACATTATTGCACGTACTATTACCAGTTTGACTTTATTTCTGTCATTCATCTTCTCACTGTCTTATTTAGATATAACAGAAGTTTAGATGGTAATGTTTATGGAATGTTTTGTTTCAAGTCATCATTATAGTTATCAGTGTTTTCTTTAGTTGGGCTCTTGAGCCTTTACTTTTTAATATTAGTTTTTCTATGGCTGCTCCAACTCTGTGTTTATAAAGCACATTTGTTGTGGCAAGAGAAACTATGACCTGGGCTGCAATCCCTGAAAGAATTGTAAGCCTATTTTGATTATACAGACTATTTATTGCAATTGATCTACAATCAAGTCAGGCTTAAGATGTTTATGGTAAACATAGCCCTGTTCATGATGGTTATGTGTTGATGATGAAATTACAATCCTGTAGTGTCCTGATTCACTCATCTCACCCAGCATTTTAAATTGATTATACAGATGCTTTAATAATTTATTACAGTAGCTAATTCCAGTAAATCTTTAATAATCTTAAAGTAGAAGAAAAAAACACAAAAATCCACAAAAATCAAAAATGTACATATGAATCTCAACAATGGTGACAATCACACAAATGCTTCATGTTGCAGTGCATGATGGGAGCCACCAATCAAAACACATCCATGGCTCACTATAATAAATAATGCAGCTGAATTGTCCTGTAATTTTCATTGTTTATTTCTGTTTGCTTTTATTTTGCTATTGTTTTGTTACAACTTTAGTAGTTTGTTTTGTGATGCTCAGAGATAATTTGTTTGTCTCCAGTTTGTTTATTGTCACCATTGTTGAGATTCATGTGCTGATTCTTGATGTAGAATCTCAGGGCACCAATGCTAACATAAGACAAAGTATATAGTCAAAGATTTAGACTCTGAATAACATCAGTGACTCGGGTCACTACATTATGTGAGCAGATTGTGTTTTCTCTTGCAGTAACAAATGTGCTTTTTAAACGCAATGTCAAAAATGTCAGCGAAAATCTAGGCTAACCTTAAAAAATGAAAATGGTTAAGAGCTCAACAAAAGCAAACACGGACCACCATAATGGTGACTTGAAATGGAAAATGCCACAAAAAATACCATCTAAACTTCTGTTGAACTTCTGTTGAAACCTTTGTAGATGTATGACAGAAATAAAGTCAAACTGGTTAATATTAAGTGCAATAATGTGTAATCGCTCAAAGTCAGTTGTAGTTATTGTGTTTCTCTTTTTTCTGTTCTTGTTGTTTCTCTTTCCTTCAGTGATTCTGCTTATTAAAACAAGGGGCTCTATCTTGCACCCTACACAAATGACTTTGAACACTGACGCATGACTCATTCCTATTTTGCACCTGCGCAGAGCGGGCTTTTTCCTCCACAGACGCACGTCGGTAAACTCGGAAATGAACTTGCGCTCCCTGGGCAGATCGGCGCAAAAAGGAGGCGTGTTTCGGCGCAAACATTCCCTGGTGCTATTTTACACTTCCAGAAGACAATTGCGCCACTGACCAGAAAAAACCTGGTCTAAAGCCAGTGGCGCGTTGCGCGTTGTTCATAATGCTATTTTAAGCGCGCATGCTTGGCTATAATGTAGCGGGTGCACAATGCGCATACACTTTGATTCTCTCATCAACACAGATGCAGCAGTTTTTATTTTTGCAAATAATACATTATAACAAGGGAAAATATGAACACATGAGGGAAATCATTGTGGTTTACATGAAGATAAAAAACCCAATTACCCAATTTTTTAAGGCTAATTGTAGTACTGAAGGATCAGACCTGTTTGCCCAATAGTGGCAAGAAACATATTACGTATATAATGTTTAACCGACGCTGATGTGCGAGAGTTTCTCCATCCCCATACAACGCCACTTCTCTGTCTTTCACTGTCCTGACGAGAACGTCGGTCTCATCGGCTGTGAACGCTCCTGGCACGCACCTGCTAAACCCGCTGTTATAATAACAATCCGTCATGCAACATGCGCACCTGTTCTTAAAGGGTATGTTGGATGGCGCTCTGATTGGTTTATTTCACGTTACGCCCAAACCACACCTATGAATAATGAAGCTACTCCAGACCAACCCCTTCTAAACTTGCATCGGGCGCACAAGTCATTAATCCCGCCGGGAAAATAGCAACAGCGCCCAAAGGCCCACCCACAAAGTTACTTGCACTTCGCGCTTGATACTTGCATTTCAGATCGTTAAAATAGGCCCTAGGTGTCACCACTAATGCTGATCAATCACTTAAGTAATCACTAAATTATCTCATCAACTTCAACACTGCTTTAGTGTTAATTTTAACACCCTATAGTGTGGACACATATGTACACTGAGGAGTGCTAATTTAACACTGGGGATTCTGCTGTGTAGAAACATCAAATATCATCACACTCACGTCTTTTGGCCTGATGCTTCATTGAGAAATACTGTGAACCATCAGCACAATCTAGGTGCCGTCCATCATTCGTTTGCTTGATGTCCTCAAACATCTGCAGAAGATCATCAGGAGAGCCGTTTCCCTGAAGACTGAAGTGTCTGTTACAGCATTTCTGAATGATTTTTTGTAGGATGTCGTTGGTTTGAGTCGGCTCTTGTGTCGTGAGCACCATGGTGTGTTGATAAACCCGCTCAGAGAAAGAGTCCAGCACCTTCTCCACACACTCTTGATCTTCTGCTGAACACTGATCATGTTTGAGGAGCAGAACGATCACATGAGGTCCTGGATCAGACAGATACACACACTCGCTCACGGTCTTCGTGATCTGACGAAGTGACAGGTGTGTGTTGAGCAGCTGAGGACTGTTGATGATGATAATTTGTCTGTCCTTCAGTCTTCCTCCGACTCTCTCCACAACATCTGGAGGAGCTTCACTGTCAAACGCTGCTCGTCCTAATATGAAGTTTCCCACTTCACTGTTTTCTGACACACTATTCCCCAGCAGACCAACTCTCAGATCACTCACTGAAACACAAAACACACACACACGTGTGACTTTTTACCAAGATTTTCATTTTAAAACATCAACATTACCAACAGAAATTGAATCACATCCACAGAAAAAGATTTTTGTTTTGGACTAAAGCAGACTGTGGCAGAAATGGAAAAGTACATCGCCCAAAAAACACTGTACTAATCAGGAGCAGATCAAAATTTCAAATTGAGATTTGAAAAAGAGTGATAGTGGACTGAAGGAGGTTGAGCTGCTGGAGTTTTTGGACAAGACTGAAATTTTGTTTTGTCACTATCAAAAAATTGATAGTGTTTCTGAGTGTTTCTTTGGCTGCACTGCGGGAGAGTGTCTTAATTACCGCTACCGTTCCTGAAAGACACTCGTTTATCACGGCAGCTGAACATTGCAGTTCTGTAAGTGAGGTTTGTCTTTCTTGTGATACAAACATCTGACTCCAAGTAGGACTCAAACACGTCACTCTTTTATATCAACAAAACTACTCAACTCTCAATGCATTGCAACTCAGAATGTGACCTCTGCATATAACAGAGTTCGTAATTCTGGTCCTCTGATTACCTTCCCGAAATCTCTAATTGTGTAATCAGAATATTTGATGATATTGGTGTACTCTTTTGTTTTTTACCTTATTTATTTTCTCGATGAGATCAGATTCAGAATCAGAATGAGCTTTATTCGCCAAGTGTTAGCAAGTTAGGTTTTCAGGAGCTCTGGCTACATACATACTTTCACGAGGATAAAAACAACATTCAAATAAGAGAGATTAAGAAAATTAAGAATAAAAAAAATGTAAAAAAATAAAAAGTTGTATACATCTAGGTCAGAACATGTATGTGTAGATGTGTGGATTATGTATATGCAACTTTTAAAAATAAATATGTATTTATTAGGGCTGTTACAATATATCATGTCACAGTATATCGCAATAGAAAACTGAAATAAAAACCCCTGCCGCCATGCGGACACCCGGGCGGGGAGAGAGAGAAGCGGCTGGAGCCAGTGCACGAACTACCTGCATCGATTCTGCGATGGCTTTAGAGACAGGAGCGCGAGATCCGTGCGAGTTGGAAGTGAGGTCAGCCGGTGAGATTGAACATGCTGGTTTTGAACTGGAAGTGTTGGTGCAGAAATGGAAATTCTGGTTGGAAAAGAGGTGAACAGAGTTGAGTCTGGCTCAGTGCGGTTTAGATTAACATAAAACCGCGGTTATAAAACCAGGTTAACACAAAAGCTTGTCTTCGAGGCTTGATGATTTCATACTGTATTGCTAGGAAAAGGAAAATTATTTATGAACAAAGTAAAAACTACACGAGGCTGAGACTAAACATAAGCACAGTCCTTCCATTGAAAGCTGGGATCAGGATAATTCATTGGAAATCCAAAACACAGAAAGAGAATTATTTTTACAAAAGTATAAACAGTATGATATTTATAAACCTGCAAATTATTTCGCAAGTTTAATTAATATTAAAAAAAAACGTAAGTCCGCAGTGTCAAAAATAAGAGATAAAAGCGGTCAATTGGTTTATACATCAGATGAAATAACAAATGTGTTTAAAGGATTCTTTGGTGAATTGTACAAATCTGAGAATATTGATGTTGAAAGGGATATGACTATGTTTTTTCAGAAGCTTAAGCTACCTAAACTTGACTTGCAGGATAATTTGTCACTTGGTGCTAAAATTACAGTCGATGACGTGAAAAAGTCAATAAATTCTTTAACGAAAAGCGTGTGGTCCCGACGGTTTCCCAGCAGAGGTCTACAAAACTTTTTTTGAAAAAATTGTTTTTTTTCCCGCCATTTCCCGATCTCAGAGGCTGGGATCCGTTACGTCTTAATTGCCATGGACTACTTTACTAAGTGGCCGGAGATGTACTGACTGCGGCCACCACGGCAGAGAAGCTGGTGGATGAGATTTTCTGCCACTTTAGCAAGATCTACAGTAACCAGGGATGTAATATTAAAGGATTAGTTCACTTTTGAAAAATCTTTTGCTGATAATTTACTCAACCCCATGTCATCCAAGATGTCCATGTCTTTCTTTCCTCAGTCGAAAAGAAATTAAGGTTTTTGATGAAAACATTCCAGGATTTTTCTCCATATAATGGACTTCAATGGGAACCAGACGGTTCAGGTCCAAAAGACAGTTAATAACAGTTTCAGATGCAGCTTCAAATGTCTTTAAACGACACCAGACGATGAATAAGGGTCTTATCATGCGAAACAATCGGTTATTTCAAAGCTTATTCCAAAAATGTAACTTTTATAAGGACAAATGCTAGCCTTGCTCTATTCTGCGAGGCGCGTTTGTAACGTCACGTAATACGTAATTACGTTCAAAAGGTCACGGGCGACGTAGCCGGAATTATTCGCCAACGTTTAACGCTTCGTGACTAACCAAAGGGCGCCAATGTGAGTGTTCACACTGACGTGAATCATAATCAGTGTTCATCTATATAAAGACTTACTGTTGGGAGGATCTTCCGATATGCTGCGTCTTCTCCTGCGAGATGAACCGCGAACAACAGCTGCAGAAAATAAAACATTTGATTACGATACTTCAACATTTCAGCAGGACGAACTTCTGCTGTTTCTCTTTTTTTTCTTGCATTTGCATCAAGAATGGGCATTTTTCTAATGTAAGTACATTTTTATTCAGACACTTTTAATGTTAAAATGTGCAAAATATTTCAATTAGACATGTACTCAATCCAAAATTAGAGGACATGTCTTTCATGAGAGATGAGATATAACTAGCCTAGAAATCTGGCCGCCCCCTAGCGGGAGCAATTATTGTGCAACCAGTGTAAGTTAACTCTAAAACCAAACTCTAGTCAGGCCAATCACATCGTGTATAGAGTTGGTGCGAGCTTAACATAATGATGGCAGAGTTGTGATGGTTCCACATGATTTATGTGCTACTTGAAAACAAAGAAGATGATGAAGCTGCTGAGGCCGTGACTCTGGAGGACTTGTAGTCTGGTTAAAACCAGACCATTCTTCTCAGTTGTAACTGAGTTATGGTTTGGCAAAGCTTCATAGACAAATCATTTCCAGAGGGGCGTCACCAACGGACATAGCTCAAATAGAGCATCACAGTCCCGCCCACAGCCGGTGCCGGAAGTAAAAATTCAATACAATTTCTCCATTGACATTTGAGATATAAGCCATAAAAACGTAACCATACACGGTAGACTTAAAACCAGCTACGGCTGTACTAAGCGATTGTATGTGCGTCATTTTTGCCGCATCACCTTCTCGCTCGTGCGGACGCGTCGAGTATACTCGGTGCGTCCGCATAAGGTGCGCACGCAAAAATGACGCTTACTCCGTGTCAGCGCGCTCTCTGATCGGTAAAAGGGCAGATATTTCTTCAGCAGTAACAGCCTCCGAGGCATCACTAACTCCGCCTCCGTTTCCCTCGTAAGTTGATATTAGTATTTACTAATATCAACTTACGAGGGAAACTGATTTTTTTCACAAACCTTTTTTATCAGTGAATAAATTTAAACATTCACTGATAAAAAAGGTTTGTGAAAAAAATATTTTTATAACATGGTTTTGGCAGTTAGAGTTCGAATAAAAATCTGCTTCACCAACGCTTTGCTGTCGTCATCGTGTAAAGCCCGCCCCAACGTTTCTGATTGCTGCCGCGATTTCGACAGATTAGAAATGGGCTTGAATGAGCTCTTTGCTACACTAACTTGCAGAGCAAATCTAAATTTGCCAGAAGTTGTCTGGGTTTTCCCAGGCTAGAGGACTTCCCCAGATAGCAAGTTTGTTTCGGCCCAGATCCGGCCCACATCTGGCACTTGTGGAATACATGCAGCGTAGAATGACGGCCCTTGGGTGGCCCACTCCTGTTTGCCAGATCTGGGCCACAAGCAGGCCATAGCAATGCCACATGTCAGCCAAGAGCAAAGAAATAAACCACAACTGGACTTTAGCCACAAAATCAGTGTATATTAATCATGGAGTCATCTCAACCTTAATAAGCCTGTTAACAAACAGAATCACTGAAGGAAAGAAGAGACGAGCAGAAACACAAGAACTACAACTGACTTTAGACACAGTCTTAGATGAAATCACCTGAAGAGAAAAGAAGACATTAAATCTGAAGATCTCAGCAGAGGAGGATTAAACAGCATTACCAGCTTCACTTATTACTAACCAGACTGACTTTATTTCTGTCAGACGTCTAGAAAAGTTTTATTTCGAAAGACAACCGTGTATCCCGTTTCTCGGATTGAGGTATACTAATGGCGAGTTCCCAGACCTCATCTCGATGTAGGTCTGACTTGACTAAGATAAAACATCTTGGGAGTTTAAATTACTCAGTTAAATATATTAAAATGCTTATAAATACAGTGTGATGCTCAGATATTAATATATCTCTGACCTCTGCTTTCTCTGGTGGCCATGTTGATAATCTGATCTTTCTTCAGTCTTCAGTTGAGGATCTTCTCTGACTTCTGATTGGCTGTCTGTTCATCAGCCTGTGTGAGAGAGATTAGAACGCTTGAAGTGTGGACATGACGTCATATCCGAGGTCCGAGTCGGTTCGTTGGGCATAATAGAGAGCCTAAATCCCTCCCCTTCCGGTCGACCACCATGGGACCTTATTTCGGAAAAATATTGAATGGTAGTCAATGGCGAGAGACAACAAATTTTTTAATCTGGTTTGAATTGTGCCCTGAATTACACATATGTTTGTCAATTTAAAAGATAATTCTTAAAGTCAAAAACGTCGCAGTTTGTCATAAAACAGAAATGTAACATTTAGTTTTATGTGAAAATCGCTCTGTGAACTACATCTCCTGGGAAGAGAAACGAGATCCGCTGCTCGTGTGTGTGCGGTCTGGTACAAAACACTCAGGTATGACGGAGTAACGTTACGATTATAACGTAAGGCTGTAGAAACAATGACAGACATTAGCCTCAGTAAAGTTAGCTTCATTCATTGAGAGAAAATGTGCACCTTTGGGATTTGTAGTCTTTGTAATTACGTATTTTCACAGTCTTATACCTCAACGGTTTCACATCAGTACTTTCTTTACTTTAAAATGTATCTTTTAAATTGACAAACATCATATGCGTAATTCAGGGCACAATTCAAACCAGATGAAAATATTTGTTGTCTCTCGCAATTGACTACCATACAATACTTTTCCGAAATAAGGTCCCATGGTGGTCGACCGGAAGGGGAGGGACTTAGTCTCTCACCATTACACTGATTTACTATTAGCACACACTACAGCTTTTGTTTATATGATAGTACTTTAATATGTTGCTTAAAAATATTGATTTGGCCTGCTTTAATAAATTGCTATGCTGATAAATACTGAATGGTTGTTTTGGGCACGAACCTGAGACATCGTAGGCCTGTGAGCATCAGTATCCCACAAGGCCCGTCTGTTTAATAGCTTTTTTCCAGCCACTGTTAGGCTAGTGGCACAGGATATTAAGGAGGGCAAAAAGTATCCTATTCCATGTTTTTAAATTTTGTAATGATCAGTGCATATATATATATATATATATATAATTTTTTAGAGTTTCTATTTTTGTATGTGCTATATTATTATTATTTACTATAATGTGTATTTATTCAGTTAGATTATTCTTGCGGTCCTTGGTAGTTTAATTGTGATGTGAGATTTATAGTTTCATGTTATTTTATTCTATTTAAAACCTGACTCTGAGAAACGCACAATAATTCCAATGTACCTGTGCAAATGGCAATAAACTTTGAACCTGAACTTGAACTTGGGGTGTTGTGGCAAATTACTATTTTAATACATTGATATTCATTTCAACGAAACTAAATTCCTTTACACTTCATATCAACAGATTTTAATTGTTCCATTTGCACTTAAAATATACATAATAATTCTCTCAAGACATTATACAATATTTCACACACACACACACACACACACACACACACAAACACACACAGGAGAGAGATTTTGCTCTCTTGCTCTGACAACACAAAAGTGAAACCAACTAATTCTGCAGATCAAAAAACACTGCCTAATTAAAATAAATCATACTTTGGCGTCGTGTATTATTTTTAAATATTATCAAATTCTCCACAAATAGTGTCTTTAATGTAAAAGTGATACCTGCATGTCCAAGTTTGTCATTCCCTTCACGAAAACAGTTAGAAATCTGTGTGGGGGGGCTGGGCGGAATGAATGACGTGAACACATGCGTGCAGGCATAGACATAAGGCTGCTCAAAACGAATTACAAAACAAAAGTCTGTTTTGTCGGCCATGGCTGTTGGTAGGACAGTTACTGAACAAGGATGGTTTGCTCATGTCATATTCAGAATTTTTTTTTTTTATTGAAACATTTTCAAAGAAAACAATCACAATATAGAATAAATAAACATAAAAAAAACAACAACAAAAAAGACGTCATATTCAGAATTTCTTCAAAATTTTAACTTCCCTCTGATACATTAATAATCATCATTAATTAATAATCAAAAATATTATTGATCTGTGTTGTATTATTTTCATGTTATCGGAGTGAAGCTGCTTTGATACAATCTGTATTGTAAAAAGCTCTATATAAATAAAGGTGATTTTATTTGACTTGAATTGACCAAAAGAATACACTTTTTTTTGCTTCAAATTCTAAAACACATATCATTCATTTTAGAGTTGAATTTAATATAATTTTTATTGGAGAGACAGACATTACAAAGAAAAAACACACCAATAAATATGTTAGAAATTTTGTGCACCTGCTGCAAAGGTTGTTTTTTTTTTGGTGTTCAACCATGGGTGATTTAAATTGGGAAAAGGCAAATACTACTGTTTATAAATACTGTTTTAATAATAAAATAAAAGAAGTTTCATTTAAAAGTGTACATCAAATTTATCCTATTAAAGATAAGTTAAGAAGATTTAAAATAAACATAGAAGAGTCTTGTGTTTTTGCCATTAACAATTGGAGCCTCCTAATAAGAGAATATTTTCATTTATTTTATCACTGTATGTTCACACACACACAAAAAAAATGTTGGTCTGATTTGGAAGATTATATAATAACAAAATTAAATGTAAACATCAGAATTAATTTTTATATTCATGTGGTCAAATATTCATGTGGTTTGTCAAAAAAATATTTTTTGTTATTCAACTGTTTATTACACAAATGTAAATGGTCTAATTCCAAACCTTGTTTTAAGGCATTTCATCTGGACTTTAAATCATATTACAAAACAATAGAAAACATGCAAAATGTTACAATGGAGGCTCCCGCTCCGCCTCCTCTCCGCCACCAGAGGGAGCCTTCACCAGAATATTGACCATTGGCTTTGAACTCAAATTCCCATTATACCTCTTACCTGGGACTGATTGCGTCACACACCTGCACCGCATTAGCACACACACATAAAAGCCACTTCCACACACCACACCAGTGCGAAGTCATGATTTGCCCCGGTGATCATTTCTGAGCGTTTATACCCCTGATTCTGATTCTCTGGTTTTGGACTTTGGACTGTTTGACTCCCTCTCGATTGATATCTGCCTGGCCTGAACTCGGACTGTTTCCTGACCACGATTATTGCTGCCTGCCCCGATCTCTGCCTGTATCTTGATTATCCCGCTGTCTTGTCTGCATTGCTCTGTCTGCCCGTTTTGACCCTGCCTGTACGACTCTGTCTAATAAAAGCTGCAAATGGATTCCTCTGTTCCTTGTGGATCATTACAGAAGACTTCGCCATCTTCCAATCCAGCAGCTGTTCAACAGTTAACCACTGAACTCACCGCTCAAGCTTCCCGCCTGGATCTACACCACCAGCAGCTCAGCCATCTTACCACACTCACTGAACAGCTTGTACAGGGGATGCAGGAGCTTCGCACCGCAGTCGGTGCCACACCCAATCCGCCTGAGCCTCCTCCGTCACCGATAGTCCCACCTGTAAATGTGAGTACATCAGTCAATCCTCGGCTCGCTTTTCCTGATAAATTTGATGGCACACCAAGTAAATGTAAAGGATTCCTGCTACAATGCACGATTTTCGTCGACCAACAACCTGCACTTTATCCCAGTCACGGGAGTCGTATTGCATTCGTATGCTCGCTGCTCACCGGCAGAGCATTGGAGTGGGCTACGGCCATCTGGAAACCAGACGGGAATACGTTCACTACTTTTCAAGAGTTCACACAACAGTTTCGACAAGTCTTCGAACATACCACGGGAGAAGGAGATGCGGGAGAACAACTTTTAAATCTCACACAAGGGAAGGACACCACCGCTGATTATGCACTGACTTTTCGAACGCTCGCTGCACAGACCAACTGGGTAGAGGACACTTTAAAAACTCTATTTAGAAGAGGACTTACCCCCGAACTCCAGTCTGAGTTAGCCTGTCGCGACGAGGGGAGAAGTTTGAATGAGTATATTTCCCTGGCTATTCAAGTCGACAATCTGATCCGTACACGACGTAAACCCCGGGCAACTAATCGAACTTTTCTCCCGGCAGCAACCCCTCATGAGCCCATGCAGTTGGGTTTCACACCCATTTCTCCAGAGGAACGAGAACGCAGATATCAGAACCGACTGTGCATGTACTGTGGCCAACCCGGACACATGAAGCTCTCCTGTCCCGTACGACCATCCTCTCATAACTCTCCGGTGAGTTCGCCCGCTAGAAAGGGAAAATCCTCTAATCATCTCTCAATTCCAGTTCGATTAACAATACAGGAACAAGTGTTTGATACTATAGCCTTTATTGACTCTGGAGCCGCTGGAAATTTCATGTCTCAATCATTCGCCGAACAATGTAACGTCAAATTGAATCCATGTCATTCTCTTCTAACAGTGGAAGCGCTAGATGGACACCCCATCGGAGAGGGAAAGATCCAATGTATTACGGCAAACATTAGGATGGACATTGGATCTCTGCATTCGGAAAACATCCAATTTTACGTCATTCACGCACCTCTTCACTCTATCATTCTGGGATATCCATGGCTCCGGACTCATAACCCTCAGATCTCCTGGAGAGAAGGTGAGATTATCCGCTGGGACGAAACCTGCCAGAATCACTGTTTAACCAAGGTCACCAGAATAATCCAGTCCATTTCAGCATCCTGCACGAAAATACCCGAACTCGAATCATTACCCTCCAACTATGCAGATCTTACTGAGGCATTCAGTAAAGAAAAGGCGTCGCAACTTCCCGAACATCGTCCCACTGACTGTGCCATAGATTTGATTCCCGGTGCCACTCCCCCAAAAGGGAGAATTTTCCCGTTATCCAGACCTGAGTCCGAGGCCATGAAACAATACATTGAAGAAGAACTCGCTAAGGGTTTCATTCGTCCATCAACTTCACCTGCCGCAGCCGGGTTCTTCTTCGTAAAGAAGAAAGACGGAGGACTCAGACCCTGCATTGACTATCGAGGATTAAATGATGTAACAGTCAAATACCGCTATCCACTGCCTCTTGTTCCTGCAGCACTAGAACAGCTTCGACAAGCCAAATATTATACCAAGCTCGATCTACGCAACGCTTACAACCTGGTTCGCATCCGTAAAGGGGACGAATGGAAAACTGCTTTTTCTACCACTAGTGGGCACTATGAGTATTTGGTTATGCCTTTCGGCTTGTCCAACAGTCCTTCAGTCTTCCAGGCATTCATGAATGACATTTTCCGAGATATGCTGGACAGATGGGTGATCGTTTACATTGATGACATCCTGATCTATTCCAATTCATTTGAGGAACACGTCCAACATGTCAGATCGGTCCTTCAACGATTAATTCAATTTCATCTATACGCCAAGATGGAAAAGTGTGAGTTTCATCAAACCAGCGTCTCATTCCTGGGATATATCATCAGTCAAGATGGGGTTGCGATGGATGAGAGGAAGGTGAGGGGAGTAGTGGATTGGCCACTACCTCAAACAGTGAAGGAACTACAAAGATTCCTGGGCTTCGCAAACTTTTACAGAAGATTCATCAGAAACTTCAGCTTAATCACCGCCCCTCTAACCGCCTTAACCAAACGACACACATCTCGCATTTCATGGAACACCGAAGCACAACAGGCCTTTCAAGAACTCAAGAGACGTTTCACTACTGCACCCATTCTGCGTCATCCGGATCCTGAACGCCAGTTCATTGTCGAAGTGGATGCTTCTAACACAGGGGTGGGGGCCATCCTCTCACAGCGTCAAGGGAATCCAGCCAAGATGTTTCCGTGTGCCTTCTTTTCCCGTAAACTCTCCCCAGCCGAACGCAACTATGATGTGGGCAACCGTGAACTACTAGCCATGAAGTTAGCATTGGAAGAATGGCGTCACTGGCTGGAAGGGGCAACCGAACCATTCATCGTACTCACAGATCATAAAAACCTGGAATATCTACGATCAGCCAAGCGCCTCAATCCCCGCCAAGCCAGATGGGCTCTCTTCTTCACGAGATTCAACTTTACTGTTACTTACCGTCCCGGATCCAAGAATACCAAAGCTGATGCTCTCTCTCGTCAAACTGAAGAGACGAACTCCAGTCCCAACCCAGAAAAGATACTCGGTGAGAAATTACTACTAGCTCCTGTTCAGTGGGATATCATGACAGAGATTCAGAACGCCAATGTCCAAAACCCAGCACCGATTGAATGTCCCGCCAATCTCCTCTTTGTCCCAGATGCCTTGCGATCCCGTCTCCTGGATCAAGTCCACTCTAATCCCAGCTCTGGTCACCCTGGAATCAACGCCACAATTCATCTGCTCCAGAACCGGTTTTGGTGGCCTACCATTACTTCAGACACCATAACCCACATCCAAAACTGTACTGAGTGTCAAACTTCAAAATCACCTCGAACACTACCCTCTGGTCTTCTCTGTCCTCTACCCACACCACAACGACCCTGGTCACACATAGCCATTGACTTCATCACCGATCTCCCGAATTCCCAAGGCTACACTACCATCCTCACCATAGTAGACAGATTTTCTAAAGCATGTCGACTGGTCCCCCTCACTAAACTTCCCACAGCTCTCGAAACTGCCGAAACTCTATGTAATCAAGTCTTCCGTTTTTATGGTTTACCCGAAGACATCGTATCTGACCGTGGACCCCAATTCACCTCCCGAGTCTGGACTGCATTCTTCAAGAACCTCAATGTGAACATCAGTCTTACCTCCGGGTACCATCCACAATCCAACGGTCAAACCGAACGCCTCAATCAGGACATCATACGTTTTCTACGCACCTACTGTCAGCAACATCAGGAAGAATGGAGTAGATATCTATTCTGGGCCGAATATGCTCAAAATTCCCTCGTCAAACCAGCAACCGGCATCACACCGTTCAAATGCATCCTTGGATTCCAACCACCTCTATTTCCCTGGTCCGGTGAACCCACAGAACTCCCATCTGTCACGGAATGGCTTCAAAAGAGTGAGGAGGTTTGGGATCAAGCACACACTCATCTGCGGCATGCAGTACGGCGCCAAGAGCATCAGGCCAACCGTCATCGTCGTCCAGCTCCCGAATACCAGGCGGGCCAATGGGTATGGTTGTCCACCAAGGATCTTCGACTCAGACTTCCATGTCGCAAGCTCAGTCCCAGGTATGTTGGTCCCTTCCAAATTTTAAGACAAGTTTCACCTGTATCATTTCGATTAGACCTGCCCGCTAACTACCGCATTTCTCCCACCTTTCATGTGTCTCTGTTGAAACCCGCTGGTGGTCCGAGGGGAGAAGCGGAGGAGGGGGCTGCCTCCCGGGGCCCTCCTGCCTTTCTGGTTGACGGCGAGGAGGCGTACAAGGTGCACAAGTTGCTGGATTCCAGACGTCGGGGTAACATTCTCCAGTATCTGGTCGATTGGGAGGGGTACGGTCCGGAGGAGCAGTCCTGGGTCAACTCAAGGGATATCCTGGACCCCACTCTCACGGAAGAGTTTCATAGGACATATCCGGAAAAACCGGCCCCTCGACCCCGTGGGAGACCCCGACGACATTTGCCTCCTCGCGTCAGGAGCCGCTCGCAGGGGGGGGGCTCTGTTACAATGGAGGCTCCCGCTCCGCCTCCTCTCCGCCACCAGAGGGAGCCTTCACCAGAATATTGACCATTGGCTTTGAACTCAAATTCCCATTATACCTCTTACCTGGGACTGATTGCGTCACACACCTGCACCGCATTAGCACACACACATAAAAGCCACTTCCACACACCACACCAGTGCGAAGTCATGATTTGCCCCGGTGATCATTTCTGAGCGTTTATACCCCTGATTCTGATTCTCTGGTTTTGGACTTTGGACTGTTTGACTCCCTCTCGATTGATATCTGCCTGGCCTGAACTCGGACTGTTTCCTGACCACGATTATTGCTGCCTGCCCCGATCTCTGCCTGTATCTTGATTATCCCGCTGTCTTGTCTGCATTGCTCTGTCTGCCCGTTTTGACCCTGCCTGTACGACTCTGTCTAATAAAAGCTGCAAATGGATTCCTCTGTTCCTTGTGGATCATTACACAAAATATGATGGCTACAAGAACATTTCATCTCCTGAAGGAACTGCATACACTCTAAAAAATGCTGGGTTGTTTTAACCCAATGTCAAATATGGACAAACCCGAAATGTTGGGTTAAAAATGTAATGTAAAAATTTAACCCAACGGCTGGGTTAGTCCATATTTGACCCAAAGTTGGGTTAAAACAACCCAGCATTTTTTAGAGTGTAATTTTAATTTTTTCTGTTTATATTAATTAATAGGTTATTATCCTAGACTGTACATTTGGTTGAGCAGGTTACAGTATTTGTAGTGTTATCTGTACGTATTGTGTATTATCAGAGACTATTTATATATTGTTCATGATAAAGTTAGTAAAATAAGTAAATAAATAAAAACTACCAAACGAATCTTCTTCTTCTAATTATTGGCGGTTCGCCTTCTTAAAAAGAGCATTGCCGCCATTTACTGTAAATAATGGATCAGATGAATTGTAACCAAATGAATTCTTGTTAACAGATACTTTTATCAACTTATTGTAATTGTAATAATAGTAATATAGCTTGTTGAATCGTGACTTCAGATTGATACGTGTTTTGATGCACTGATTCGAAGTAAAAGATTGTGATGCAGCACAGGCTTTACTGATTAGATGCGCATAACAATATCGTGCGATATATCGCCCAGCCCTAGTCCATTATATGGAGAAAAATCCTGGAATGTTTTCATCAAAAACCTTAATTTCTTTTCCACTGAAGAAAGAATGACATGGACATCTTGGATGACATGGGGGCGAGTAAATTATCAGCAAACGTTTTTTTAAAAAGTGAACTAATCCTTTAAAGTAAATATCTTGATCCATTTTCCATTCCAGTTTGTGGCGGTAATTCACCAATAAGATCCATTGCCAACCGCCAATAAATACCAAAGAAGAAGAAGAAGAAACCATCAAGCTAGAATATCATATAGAATATCATATAACTAGGTGAGAATGGCATTACCCTAAATTTACATGAAATAATGCAAAGAGGGTCTGGCGAAATTTGTTTTCATTTTTCATTTTCTTTTTTAAAGATAACTGGGTTAATTAAAAGAATTTAAAAAGTGTAGTCTGCCCCGGTTACAGTGTATGAGTGACCCATTGATCCACACTCCAGTCCAGATGGTGGCGGTAATGCACCAAAAAGCTACTTGCCAACCGCCATAGCAAGAGAAGAAGAAGAAGGAGAAGAAGGAGAAGAAAAAGAAGCCTTCGAGGCGCTGCTGAAATGGCGCAGTGTTCAGGTATGATTTCAAACGCAGTATTCGACAATCAAACTAATACGGTATTTTGTATGGATAATCTTGTTTTGAATGTTTCTACATCTTTAGTGCATTTATCGACATCTCTTACCTGTGTGTGTTGACTAGCATGTGTCTAACGTTAGCCTACTGCTAATTTCTGACACCATTTTCTTGTGTGTTGAGATTTTTATGGATTGAATCAAACCCACGCGACTGACTGAGAATATCTCAGCATCGATGCCTAATAGATGAACTTTTTTTCTGACGAGCTTCATTCATCTTTCGTTTTTCCTTAGTCAGATTTACTCTTTGAAACACTTCATTTTTGAGTCCATGCTTCAGGCCTGTTTAAAACGTAAACAACAATTAGGCTTTAGTCAACGCAAAACTCAGGCAGTATTGTTTAACTAAGTAAAATAAGAGTATGAGTAAAATACCGTCATTATCTATCTAATCTCTCCTCTTAAGATTGTGCGAAAGATCTGACGCTGCTGTTTTTTTTATAGCCCATACAGAAATGTAATTCGCATAGGCTATACTCACATTCACATGGTACACTACACTGTTAAATATATTGAAATATATTTTTAAATTGCTTATAACATAAAGCTTAAACTGTTCTTCGTTTAAATTTGTGTACAAAATGTATTTGTGCCTTATATCTTGTGAAGTGTGTTTTTCAAATATGGCCTATGTTCCCTACTTTTGTGTCTACACCATGTTTAGGTTATTGTATTATGGCTACTGCTTTCATATTCTCATTCCATTTACATTAAGCCTACTATCCACTTAAAACATAAGTCTCCTTTTTTTTTTTTATAATTCACTCCATCAGTATTTTTAATGTTTTAATTCTAGATGTAAATTCAAATTCTGCATGGTAACTTTGATGCGTTTTAAAGGAGTAGTTCACTTTAAAAAAAAAAAAAACTTTTGCTGATAATTTACTCACCCCCATGTCATCCAAGATGTCCATGTCATTCTTTCTTCAGTCGAAAAGAAATTTTTGTTTTTGATAGAAACATTCCAGGATTTTCTCCATATAATGGACTTCAATGGGGTCCAAACGGTTCAAGGTCCAAAAGAGAGTTTCAGTGCAGCTTTAAATGACACCAGACGATGAATAAGGGTCTTATCTAGCGAAAATATTGGTCATTTAAAAAATAAATAACAAAGTTTAAGTTTTATGAGCTCAAACGCTCACCTTGCTCTGTTCTGTGATGCACGTTTGTGACTCTCCTGTTCAAACTTGTTCATCAAAATGAAAAAAATTTTCGAGTCATTTGGTTCATTCAACGAATGAAATGAACGAATTGACTTGGAAAAAGATTTGTTCATTTTGATGAACAAGTTTGAACAGGAGAGTCAGAGCAAGAACAGAGCAAGATGAGCAGTTGAGCTCATAAAACTTAAACTTTGTTATTTATTTTTTAAATGACCGATCGTTTCTCTTGATAAGACCCTTATTCATCGTCTGGAATTGTTTAAAGCCCCATTCTGTTACTTTTGAAATTTTGCTAATTTTGATATGCTAATTCAATTCAATGTTTGTGTGGTAGATAATAGCCATGTCGTCAATACTATAATATCAAGCTACCATAGATGAATCTGCAATCTTGAAAAATCTATTTGCATTATAGCCTGAGGCAATCAGTATATTTTCACGTCTCGAGCTGCCCGCCCCGGCTCTACGGGGATGCTTGAGTGTCTTAAGCGCCCTCAAAAGAAAGCAATGCAGTCTACACTGGATGCGGCGAGAGGCGAAGCTACACAACACATCACCATCAGTAAACTGATCGCCCGCAACCTCCGTTTCTGACGCACTTAACATTTGGTTTTACTTGCTGCTTCAGCCATGACAACATACAGAGGTAATAAAAAACTCTAATTGGGCTCTCGCGTCGGAATTTGAGGAAGTAGGGGAAGTGATGTATGCCGTAAAGCAGTCGAATTTTGTAGTAAATTTTTTGTGCTCTGGTTCCTACCCACACCCCAGTAAAATCGATACAGACACTGTCAGGCTATGGCAGACCTGTCATTCAAGTCGATATACCATCTCAAGGGTTTTGGAAAAATATTATAAAGGTTGAAAACACTAGTCCTGCTTCAAAGCCCTTTGAACAGTTTGCACTGAAACTGTTATTTGGACCTTGAACCGTCTGGTTCCCATTGAAGTCCATTATATGGAGAAAATTCCTGGAAAATTTTCATCAAAAACCTTAATTTATTTTTGACTGAAGAAAGAAAGACATGGACATCTTGGATGACATGGGGGTGAGTAAATTATCAGCAAAAGTTTTTTGAAAAGTGAACTACTCCTTTAATGGGCGCGCGTGCTGAACATTCAAGTCAAGTCATTCATCATTTCACTGGAGCGGAGGGAGTAACCACGGAAACGCCAAACGGAGTGGGGACTCACCTGACGACAAGCTGCAAAAACTGTGTTGTTTTCATGCCCTTCAGGTAAGTTTAAAGTTACACAAATAATACACACACTGTTCCTGACACTTTCTTACATGTAATTGAAACGTTCTGGTAAATATTTAATTTACAGAAGTGGTTTAAAGTTAGTGGCCCTCATTTATCTTAAGTGCTTACACCAAATTTCCAGCGTACACCCAAAATCACAGTGAGTTTGAGATTTATCAATATGGACGTTGGCGTACGGCACGCTCGAATCCTACACCAGCTCAGGAGATGGTGTACGCACGTTTTGAGTTAGTGAGGAAATGTGCAGAAAAATTCCTAACACCACAAAACGCACTGACACACTAAAATATATGATATATTATTATGACCCACTGTAAAACAAACAAACAAAAAAACAACATAGTAATTATAAACTTCAGTGTTTATTTTTGTGTAACGTGGACTTCAATTTTAATTTGTGTGACTTTACCAAAGCATTTGATTTGTAAGCAGCATATGTATAGGACTTTACCCTGACGTTTCAGGATTATCCCCGGCAGGTGCGCACGGACTGGGTTCGGTAGCCTAATGAAAGGCTTTCAATGACCAAAAAATAATTCAGACTGACAAAATAATCAAAATGACCTTCTTCTTCTTTTAAATAATAATAATAATAATACAAATAATAATAACGACATCCTTCTTCTAAATAACAATAAGCGTCATTAATACAAATCATAATAATAAGAAGAATACTATTACAAATTATCACACAATTATTAATGTGAATGAATGGTACTTCACATCATCATCATCACTATTATACATGTGACGTGATTCGAAATTGAATGCTAATTTCAAAAGACGTGCTGTAAAATAATGCATTGTGATAGGTCATTTCGGCTCCACGTCGGAGAAGTTTCTCTTCTTTGCCGTCTTCCGTGTGTCCATGGTGTAAAATGAGGGCGTGGGGGGAGCGGAGACTTGAATATTTAGGGGCGTGTTATTCTAATGACGATCGTTTTCGGCCGCGGGATTTATCAAGGGCAGGCATTGCGTACACCTGGATTTCAAAGGTACGCACATCTTCATAAATCAGGCGGTGAGAGGAGTGTAAGTATAATCTTACACCAAAATATACACCCGTTTCTACGCAAGAATGATAAATGAGGGCCTGTGTGTTCGGAAAAAAAACAAAAAAACTTTAGCATCTTAGCCGTCAGGCTAACTATAAGAGGTTGGCTATAGACTTGAGCTCATTTTTAATAGAAGTTTGTGCTTTGAAATAGTGTAAGTCTGTTTTCGTGCTCCAACGCTACAGTGCATGTACATATATCTATAAATTTCATTTACACATAAGATGTGATTCAAACACGTTTTGTACTCATGATAATATAATGATAAAAAAAAACTGTTCTGTGATTTCAGGAACACCAGAAAATTTACAAGGAAACACAGGTGAGCTGAGCAAGTCCTTTAAATATCTTAAAGGATTAGTTCACTTTTGAAAACTTTTGCTGATAATTTACTCACCCCCATGTCATCCAAGATGTCCATGTCTTTCTTTCTTCAGTCGAAAAGAAATTAAGGTTTTTGATGAAAACATTCCAGGATTTTTCTCCATATAATGGACTTAATTGGGAACCAGATGGTACAAGTTAATATCAGTTTCAGATGCAGCTTCAAATGTGTTTAAACGACACCAGACGATGAATAAGGGTCTTATCATGCGAAACGATCGCTTATTTCAAAGCTTATTCCAAAAATGTAACTTTTCTAAGGACAAATGCTAGCCTTGCTCTGTTCTGTGAGGCGCGTTTGTAACGTCACGTAATATGTAATTGCGTTCAAAAGGTCACGGGCGACGTAGCCGGAAGTACATAGCCGGAAGTGCGACGTAGCTGGAAGTTTTTACATTAAAACTTTTTAAAAAATGCATTAGGCTGCTATTTACCTTTGATGTCTTATTCAAGACCGTCACACACTCTTCCTAGAGTTGTCCTTCATATACATTTACAGCTGAAACTTTACAGAAATATCATTTATATCCCTGAAATAGCCTGTCACATGAGCACCTATAATGTTAATAATTTACTTATTTTTTTATTACTTATAATTTACTACAGTCGCTGCTTCTTTTAACAACGGTTTCTTTGCCTCGCATTGAACACTGTGCCTCGTTTACTAAACGAAATCCTCCAAAGCAATCTGGGACGCCATTTCAATTAACCATCCACTTGTTTCTGATGCTGTTGTCAGAAACAATGGAACGTAGTATGTCTGATATAAAAAAAATTGGAATATCTAGAAATTTCCAACTTGTAAATTCTGAAAGAAAAAAAAACATTCTGATTATTGGACAAAAAACATCTAGAATACTCTCTAACACTTGATGGCTGCTCTGTTAAGTCTTCGTCGTCGGTAAGGAACCTGGGTGTGCTCTTTGATGCCAATCTTTCATGTAATCTTTATTTTCATGTAATGTTTCATGTTTAAAGTCATGTGTCTAGTATCTGTAAAACCGCATTTCCACCTTAAAAATATATCTAAATTACACCATATGCGCTCATTGACAAATGCGTAAAAATGAGTTAATGCGTTCATGACATCAAGGCTAGATTATTGTAATGCTCTACTGGGTGGTTGTCCTGCACGCTTAATAAACAAACTCCAGATAGTCCAAAACGCAGCCGCTCGAGTTCTTACCAGAACCAGGAAGTATGACCATATTAGCCCGGTTCTGTCAACCCTGCATTGGCTGCCTATTAAACATCATATACATTTTAAAATATTACTGATTTACTTACAAAGCACTAAATGGTTTAGCTCCGCAGTACTTGAGCATGCTCTTGACGCATTATAGTCCTTCACGTCTATTGCGATCTCAAAATTCTGGGCATTTATTAATACCTAGAATATCAAAATCGACTGCTGGTGGTAGATCCTTTTCCTATTTAGCACCAAAACTGTTGACACACTCTGTCAGTTCAAAGCTTGATTAAAGACACATCTCTTTGCCCTAGCATTCACATAATACATTATAAACTTCTATAATTCAATGTTAGGCTGCGGGGTTGTAAAAAGTATTGAAAGTTAGTAAATGAAATTAGCCAAAATTTAGGGCATTAAAAAGTAATAAACGTCATCTGACACAGGTTCGCGTTTAAAGGATTAGTTCACTTTTGAAAAAACTGTTGCTGATAATTTACTCACCCCCATGTCATCCAAGATGTCCATGTCTTTCTTTCCTCAGTCGAAAAGAAATGAAGGTTTTTGATGAAAACATTCCAGGATTTTTCTCCATATAATGGACTTCAATGGGAACCAGGTCCAACCAAGGTCCAAACGACAGTTATAACAGTTTCAGATGCAGCTTCAAATGTCTTTAAACGACACCAGACGATGAATAAGGGTCTTATCATGCAAAACGATCGGTTATTTCAAAGCTTATTCCAAAAATGTAACTTTTCTATTTTTATTGTGAGGCGCGTTTGCAACGTCACGTAATACGTAATTACGTTCAAAAGGTCACGGGCGACGTAGCCGGAAGTACAGAATCAAAATCGTCCGACATCGTTGTTTTACCTTTTAATTCTTTTTTTGTAAACGGCGTTTGAGTTAGTTTGCACGTTCAACCTATGCGTTCAACTTGTAAACACTCTGAGTCTGTACTTCCGGCTACGTCGCCCGTGACCTTTTGAACGTAATTACGTAATACGTGACGTTACAAACGCGCCTCACAGAATGGAGAAAGGCTAGCATTTGTCCTTAGAAAAGTTACATTTTTGGAATAAGCTTAGAAATAACCGATCGTTTCGCATGATAAGACCCTTATTCATCGTCTGGTGTCGTTTAAAGACATTTGAAGCTGCATCTGAAACTGATATTAACTGTCTTTTGGACCTGAACCGTCTGGTTCCCATTGAAGTCCATTATATGGAGAAAAATCCTGGAATGTTTTCATCAAAAACCTTAATTTCTTTTCGACTGAAGAAAGAAAGACATGGACATCTTGGATGACATGGGGGTGAGTAAATTATCAGCAAAAGTTTTTTCAAAAGTGAACTAATCCTTTAAAGTCTGTTTAGAGACATTCATATACTTTTTTACCTTACAGTTACTGTAAATCTGGTCACTAGTTCATAAACGCAAGATGAAATCTAGCCCCCGACTGAGCCTGGTTCTCTCTATTTTCTTCTTCGTTGGGTCACCTGATGGAGTTTTTTTGTTCCTTGCCACTTTTGCCTTTGGCTTACTCAGTTGGGGATATTCAAATGAATTAACCAATCAGTAATACCCTTGATCAGCTCTACCAAAAGTGGATGTTTTTTTCCACTAAGAAACGAACATTATGTGTTGATTGATACTGTGAAGCTGCTTTGATCCAATCTATATTGTGAAAAGCGTTATATAAATACACTTGACTTGAAGCAATCTAACCAAAACTACCTCAAATAACCACTGACAAACATTTTTTCTTGTTTTCTTTTACAGATGTTGCCATAAATCGGCATGAGAAGGCAACTGTTGGGCCAGGTCATGGATAATAATTTGTCAGACCTGAGGTTCCAGAATAAGAGTGTATGCACTTGAGAGCTGTGTGTTCAACTGTACAAATAGATTTAACAAGAAATATCTTTTTACAGACTGCCAAAAGTTCCAGAAAAGAGAAGCAAATAGATTGCTGCAATTCGCAGAAACGGCTGGAATCCAGGCAGCAAAACATGAAGTGAATGGGTTAAAATTGTTGAATTTAGTGGGAAAATCATATCCTCGGTCATATATTGTATTGGCAACTCATCAATTAAATATTTACCATCTAATATTCTGGATAACTGTAAAGTTCTTGTCGGTTTTTATGAATATGATTCCTGGGCATATGGCAATGTCCATTGACCACAGTCTTTTTGGTAAGTTTGTATAAGTATCGAGTCCAACTGCAAAAATGTTTGTTGCTTGTTTTATTTCCGTTTTTGCAATTTCCTTTATTAAAGACAGTAATGCTGTAGGATGTTTTGCCCCTCCGATGAGGGGACGTGTCCCAGCAGGTAAGTAGCCTGAGGAAAAAGTCAATATTTTTATTTATTATTAAATTGTTTGGTATACTTATCATTTTGTTTCTGTGCAGATAATTTTATAGATGCTGTGTACTTTTACTTTTTGTTGACATAAATAAAAATTCCACATTATGTTTGTGTTGGTGTTTTCTCTGTAACCCCTAAATTCATTGTCCAATAACTACCAACTAGTCAACATCTTTGTTTGTGTGTGTGTGTGTGTGTGTGTGTGTGTGTGTGTGTGTGTGTGTGCGCGTGTGTGTGTATATATATATATATATATATATATAAGAAAATATGTTCATATGGAGACACTCATGCTGCATTACTTAAATATTTGAACAGTACATTAAATATATTTACATATACAGAAAACTAATATATTAACATGTATTATAAATTGATATATGCACATATATTGAACATTAATGTATTTACATAGATGGATATCTGAACCTATTGACATATTAAGAAAATAAATATTTGAAAATATTTGAAAAATATTAAAAAGGCTAAATCAAATAATTAAATATAGTTTTAACATATATTTCGAAATGTATGTAAATACAAGTAAAACATATTTTCTTCTATTTAGAATTAATAGATTTAAATACATGGAAATGTATTTATTACTAATATATTTCAATATTCATGACTTCCGTATGCGGAAGTAAGAGATCGTTATGGAGTTTGGGTATAATGTCGTTTTTGCAAAGGCTATTTACTCTGAAAGTAATAATAATAATTAAAGCTGCTAGCAGAATTTAGCGGTCTTCAAGCAGTTCAGGCCTTTAAGCACAAAAGCATCAAAAGACAAAGTTTTATGTGGCAAGCATGATTTACCATGACATACCACATTTCAGTGTGATATTTCATGATTTACCATGATTCTAGCATGATTTGCCATGTTCTACCACAGTTTACAACATTGCTAGCATTGATGTGAAGTGTCAGTACAAATGAACTGATATACTCTGGCAAAATATGATTTTCTAGTGTATAAATATATACAGGTCCTTCTCAAAAAAATTAGCATATTGTGATAAAGTTAATTATTTTCCATAATGTAATGATAAAAATTAAACTTTTGTATATTTTAGATTCATTGCACACCAACTGAAATATTTCAGGTCTTTTGTGTCTGATGATTTTGGCATACAGCTCATGAAAACGTCTCGGTTACGTATGTAACCCTCGTTCCCTGAGTAGGGAACGGAGACGTTACGTCAGAAGTGACGGAGATTGGGGGATTTCGCATAGAAAGCCAATCCTCTTCGAGTATTTAAACACGAGCCAATGGCATGCAATGCCTTGGGGCTGCGGAAATTTGCATAGCGTACTCCGCCCTACTCCGTGAGTATAAAAGGAGGAAGTGAACGCAACCGCAGTATGTCTTCGCTGAGGAGCCAAGACTGAACTCGGCATCTACCCAGCGATACAGCAGAAGTGGCAGGGAGACGTAACGTCTCCGTTCCCTACTCAGGGAACGAGGGTTACATACGTAACCGAGACGTTCCCTTTCGTAGTCACTTCGAGTTACGTCAGAAGTGACGGAGATTGGGGGTCTGTGCCATCACGCCATCTTCAAGCTGTCTTCCAGTGCCCTGCGAAAGACTGAACCCCCGAGCTTTATCTCTTTTTTTTTTTTTTTTTTTTTTTTTTTTGGGGATCCGACTTTGACACGGGATTACCAAGGTACACTGGGAAACATATCCCGAAGGGGACATGCTACCAGTTGCCTACCGAAGGGAGGACTTAAGAACATATATGGCCACATAGGACGCATATGGAACACTGGAGTACCAACCGCAGGTGGCTAATATTTAAACTCCAGGGGTGGCAGATGGCTTGCCAAGGGAAGACACATGCTCAAGGAGGCTTACAGTGGATAATACACATGAGACGGTTACCATGGGGAACCGTGCGCATGGAGGCACCTAGCTAGCATCCAGAGCAACAGCAGTGGTGCCCGCATCGTCGGTGCTGGAGGACTCAAGACTTCAATGGAAGAACTGAGGAATATCGCACTTATCCAGTCCGGGGAGTGGAGTGGCGAGCAAGCGAAGACACCTGAGCGGGTCCAGTACCGGCCGGAACGAGTACGAGAGAGGACACTGGCTCAATTCGCAGATTATAGAATCTGGCGAAGGTGTTGGGTGTCGCCCAGCCTGCAGCTCTGCAGATGTCTGTTAGCGAGGCGCCGTGCGCTAAAGCCCAAGAGGAGGCTACACTCCGAGTGGAATGGGCCGTCACACCAAGGGGGCACGGACGGCCTTGCTGCTGGTAAGACAAAGCAATGGCATCCACTATCCAGTGGGACAGCCGTTGCTTTGAGAGAGCCCTTCCCTTCTGGCTCCCTCCATGACAGACAAAGAGCTGGTCTGAGGTCCTGAAACACTGCGTTCTGTCGACATAGGTGCGGAGAGCACGTACCGGACAGAGCAGTGCCAAGGCTGGGTCTGCCTCCTCCGGGGGCAGCGCTTGCAGGTTCACCACCTGGTCCCGGAAGGGAGTGGTGGGAACCTTGGGCACATATCCAGGCCGGGGTCTCAGGATCACGTGAGAGTAAGCCGGCCCGAACTCCAGGCACGCTTCGTCAACGGAGAATGCGTGCAGGTCCCCCACCCTCTTGATGGAGGCCAATGCAACCAGGAGTGCCGTCTTCATGGACAGAAACTTTAACTCTACCGATTGCAAAGGCTCAAAGGGATGCCTCTGCAGAGCACTTAAAACTACCGAGAGGTCCCAAGAGGGTACGAGGGGAGGACGAGGCGGATGCAGCCTCCTCGCTCCCCTCAGGAACCTGATGACCAGGTCGTGCTTCCCTAAGGACTTACCTTCCACTGCTTCATGAGAAGCGGCAATGGCCGCGACGTAGACCTTAAGGGTGGAGGGCGACAGCCTGCGCTCCAACCCTTCTTGCAGGAAGGAAAGCACGACACTGATCGAACATCTCCGGGGGTCTTCTCCGCGAGAAGAGCACCAATTGACGAAGAGGTTCCACTTCAACGCATAAAGGTGTCTCGTGGACGACGCTCTTGCGGAAGTGATGGTTGCCGCCACCGCAGGTGGCAGCGAACTCAAACCTGCCTCGTCCCGTCCAGGAGCCACACGTGCAGCCTCCAAAGATCGGGACGAGGGTGCCACAGAGTGCCCCGTCTCTGAGAGAGTAGGTCTTGTCTCAGAGGAATAGGCCAAGGAGGTGCTGCCGCGAGGAGCATGAGATCGGAGAACCACGTCTTGGTGGGCCAGTAGGGGGCTACCAGCAAGACCTGCTCCTCGTCCTCCTTGATCTTGCACAACACCCGTGCAAGGAGGCTCACTGGGGGAAACGCATACTTGCGTGGGCCCCGTGGCCAGCTGTGCGCCAGCGCATCCGAACCGAGAGTGCCCCAGGTCAGAGAATAAAACTGGGCGCAGTGGGCTGAGTCCCGGGAGGCGAACAGATCTATCTGTGCCTCCCCAAACTCTTTCCAGATCAGCTGGACCGACTGGGGATGGAGTCGCCACTCGCCGGAGATAGGGCGGACCCGAGACAGCTCGTCGGCTGCCCAGTTCCGGTCTCCAGGAATGTGAACTGCACGAAGGGACCTCAGGTGCTTCTGACTCCATATCAAGAGGTGGCGGGCGAGCTGCGACAACCGGCGCGAGCGTAGACCCCCCTGGTGGTTGATGTACGCTACAGCCGTAGTGTTGTCTGAGCGGACAAGCACATGCTGGCCCTTGAGCAACGCTCTGAAGCGGTGCAGGGCGAGCCGTACTGCCAGCAGCTCGAGGCAATTGATGTGCATGAGGCGCTGGGCCCCGTCCAGGAGCCGGCGGCTGCATGCCCATTGCACATGGCACCCCAACCCGTGGTAGATGCATCCGTGGAGACGATGAGATGCCTGGAAACTCGCTGAATAGGGACGCCCGTCCGTAAAAAGCTGAGGTTCGACCACGGGAAGAAGGTTCGCCGGCATGCCGGAGTCACTGGGACTCGGAGCGAGCCGCGATGCCATGCCCACCTCGGGACTCGATCGCGAAGCCACAGCTGAAGCGGTCTCATATGAAGCAAACCGAGCGGCGTTGCCGCGGCCGCGGATGCCATATGCCCCAGGAGCCTCTGAAAAAGTTTCAGTGGAACCGCACTCTTGCCCTCGAACTGACGAAGACAAGTCAGCAGTGAGTGCGCGCGCTCGTTCGTGAGCTGCGCGGACATGGCGACCGAGTCTATCTCCACGCCGAGAAAAGAGATCCTCTGCACGGGGCAAAGTTTGCTCTTCTCTCGGTTGACCCGAAGGCCCAGACGGGCTAGGTGCCGGAGCACCAAGTCTCTGTGTTCGCAAAGCTGAGCTCGAGAGTGTGCTAGTATCAGCCAGTCGTCGAGATAATTCAGGATGCGAACCCCGTGTTCGCGAAGGGGAACAAGGGCTGCCTCGACGATCTTCGTGAAGACGCGAGGGGACAGAGCTAACCCGAATGGGAGAACGGCGTACTGATATGCCTGGCCCTCGAAGGCAAACCGAAGAAACGGTCTGTGTCGAGGTAAGATGGACACATGGAAGTACGCGTCCTTCAGGTCGATCGCTGCAAACCAATCCTGATACCGAACACATTCGAAAATGCGTTTGGCCGTGAGCATTTTGAACGGTAGTCGATGGAGAGAACGGTTCAAAATGCGCAGGTCCAGGATCGGTCGTAACCCACCGGTCTTCTTGGGGACAATGAAGTAGGGGCTGTAATACCCGGACCTCACCTCGGCTGGAGGGACCGTCTCGATTGCACCCTTCGCCAGCAGGGTCGCAATCTCCGCTCTCAGGACTGGGGCATTGCCACCGACTATCGTGGAGCGAACTCCCCTGAAGCGGGGAGGAGACCGTGCGAACTGAATCGCGTAGCCGAATCTGATCGTTCTGATGACCCAGCGGGATACCCCGGGAAGCGCTAGCCAGGCTTCCAGGAAGTGAGCCAACGGGGTCATGTGAACCACAGACGTCCCCCCGGAGGGGCAGCGTGGCGGGTCGACTGGCACGCGTGCAGGAGTTACCCCGCTCGGATGCGTCGAAGCCCGCTCCCCGACAGAAGGGACCAGGGAAAGCGGAGCGTTCCACGGGGGTCCGTTCTGCCGGGGGTC